ATTGAAGATGAATGAAAATATTGTCTATATCTTTAAATAGATCATTTCTCTAACAATAAAATAAATACTTATATGTAATAAACCACATATGTGTGTAGGTAAATCACATATAAGTTACATATTTTAGTTACGTATATATGCATTCCTATATTAAAGAATCTCTCTGAGATACTTTATAATAATAATATGATAAGATTTATTTATTTCAACAATTTTAAATAAATCAAATAATTTCTTTGTTAAAAATTTAAATAGTAATTGTGTTATTAATATAAATTATTAAATAGAATTGAACAAATTCTAGTTCTATATATAAATAATTTCGATAGAACGTAAATTACATTAATCCAAAAAAGAATGGTCTCAAAATAGTTTTTTTTTAATTGCTTTCAAAATATATAAATGCCTTTGAAATGTATAAATAAAAATATTTCAAATTTACTTTTGTGATTTATAATAATTAACCAACAGCGACAAGTGGTTTTTAAATGCATGGTCTCGTTAAAAACAAAAAAATAGATAAATATTTTACAAAAATATAATTATTGTGTACAGGAAGAAAATTTAATTACTTCATAGTATTTATAGTATTGCAGATGATTTATAATAATATGTAACACAAATTCTAAATATAAGGAAATATATTTTCTTTTTAGAAACATCTCGAGAATAATACAAATTAAATTTATTAATACAGAACTTAGTATTTTCAAATTTATTAATATTTAAAGATACATAATATGTAAGATTTTTAATCAATAAAAATTATAAAATAATTTTACAGTTACATGATAAAATTTAATTAAATTTAATTAAAGCCCCATTTATTCGATTGAAAACTTTGTTTGATGTAACATAAAGAAGTATAAAAAACAAAAAAAAAATACATTGAAAATCCATCTCTCGCGGATAATGCATTTCTCAATTTGAAAATATTTCAAAAAACATGTAAAAATTAAGTTTCAGAAACAAAAATTTGATAAATATATAAAATAATATATAATAAATACATTATTTTATATAAATATATACATGAAATTAATTTTTGAAATTTTATATATATTATTTTTATCGTAATCTTATATTCGACAGAATAAATTTCCTAATTCTTAAATAAAAAATTGACGTTATTTCTATTATTCGACAAAATCTATTTTCCCGTTTAATTAATATAATCATTAATATTTAATTAATGTAATCATTTAATTTGTATACTTTAGGAGAAAACTACGTTTTGCTCAAAATCACTATTCTATGTTTATGTAGAAAAAAAAATCAATAAAATTAATATAAAATGATATCCGTACAAATAACAAATATCCGTACAATTTATAAATAAGTTAAATATTTCAATAATATCAATAAATTAAATCATATTTCCGTCTAAAAGAGAATATTTCAAAATATTTAAAATTTGTTTAGCAACATATATTTCTTATAACAGGTAAATGTTATTTTTCAAAAGTGACACGTATAAAGATACTTGAAATCACATATAAAATTGTATATACGTTTACAAATAATTGTTCATATCATGTACAAATTGAAAGCCGAAATTATATGTGAAGAGCAAATGTTTGAAAATAAAATTAAAAACAATATCAATATGAAGTTGAATGCTATCTGGTCAACTAAAAATTATTAGCAATTATTTGCATTGTTTTTTAATATATTAACTATACATATAAACAAGATAAAACGTAAAAAGACAAACAAAATATATGTAAAATTAAACCCGATAAAATAAATTATCAATTATTTTATTATATGCAATTTTATTTTTCAAAACTTTGATCCATTTCTCCTGAGCTTATAATTTTATATGTTTTTGTGTTATCCAACACCAGCAATGAACAAATAAACGTGATGTTAATGGTTCGAGAGAGAACGCGATATTTCTGGACATTCCGATGACATTCAACTTTCTGTAATTTCATCTGGAAAGCTCCAGCTATGCAGCCTGCGACTGACAACTTGTATAGAATTGTACTTACAGGAAATGCAGTGTACGTGTGACTTGAACTCCAACGATTCATCCTGCTACCGCTCGATGGAATAGGCGAAAATTTGCGTTTCGTGGAATTTCAAGTACAAGAATAGATGTCCACTGAGCGAACGATCCCGTAGTTATTGTTGGCACAAGGTCATGGAATTTCAATGGAAAACGATTTGTATCTCGTTACGAGCTCATCGTTTATTTTTATCTGGATGGCGTTTCTCGATGAATCGTTAATACTGAAAAATCAAATAAAACAATTATATCCTGTTTATTTTTACGAAGATGTAATGTTAAGATAATTAAGAATGTATACTACTTATATGATATTATATTTATTAATTCAATATCTTATACATAAATATCATATTAATTGTATGAATTTATTATTTTTATATTTTGTGAATTTTTTAAGCATAATTTTGTAAAATATTTTGTAACTGCATATTATGTAACTGCAATAAATTTATTTAAAATAGAATTTTCTATGATAAAAAAAGTGTATTGCAGACTTTACCCAAGAAAAATTGTATAATTTGTTCTATGATTTCACAATTTTATGTCAAAAGATATTGAAATACATTATTTTAGATACAATATACTGTATATTTTTGTACTGGTATTTCTTACTTAGAGATGATATACATTATAAATATATGATACTATTTTTTCGATTCTTTAAATCGATATCATATTTAATAATATATATTATATTATAAACATAATAATATATTTATTATATTGGAATAATTATTATATTAATAATAATTATATTTTATTTATAATAATATATTTTATTATATTATAAATATAATAAAATAAGCAATATAATTATATTGCTATAGTAATAAGATATAAAACCAATTATATAATTTCTATCAAAATAAATCATATATTATTTCTATAATATTTATATAATATAATTATATAATTATATACATTTAAAGACAATACGAGCCTGATAATGTGACATTAGAATTATTTAATATTTGTAAATATAATATATGTAAATGGACTGCAAAAAATATATTTGAACACAAAGCTACTTTGAAGAGATTCACGAGATCAGAAGACTTATGCTTGCGACGTTAAAGTACAAAACGGATGAGGCAAGTTTTGATCGTGTGCAGACCAATTATACATTCGCATATATATCTAGTGTGCGCACAGTAACGCTAATTATACTGTTTCTCTCCACCAACGTATGTCCAACCAGTAATTTATAACTCAGAAACAGGTTATAAAAGGAATCGTTACTAATGACATCGTAAAACCAATACAGATGTCATATATTTAATGTACATTATCCCCCCCACTTGAAAATGTCATCGTACTCCAATTTAAATCAAACCCCTCCGGGTATCAAGCTCGGAGAAGAAATAGTGCCGGATGAGAATCGACAAATAAAAAGATGAGTTACGCCGCGCTACGTATCCCAAATCGGATATCGTTAAAACGTTGATTAACGGACGCTTTGTCCCCAGGACACAAGACTCTCAGGTTTACAGTTTTTTTTGCGCTCAATATAAAGCCTTTTATTCATCAAAGAGACGAATACATAAGTAATTTGATTTATAAGTAGATATACGAGAAAATCATGTCTATATAAATAAAATAATTTACTTTATAGAAAGCAAAATAAAAGCTTTAAAATATGTATTATCTCTTGCATTGCTTTTTAAATCATTGTAATTTATATAATGTGTATTATTAAATTAAATATTAACATTAATACAAGCGATAAATATTTGCATTGCGTTTTTTTAGATGCGAGAAAAACTTTCGTATAATAAATATTTCGAAATCCATCTGTCTACCTCTACAAATAATTACCTTGATATAAGTAAAAACCCGCAGCGTGAAAAATTGCATGAAAATCGAGCGGAATACTCTCGTTTTATTCGGATAGTATTATCATTGCTGTGTGTATTTCCACCGATTTCCGTTTGCTTCGTCGCTGTTTGAACGAGCGAAAAATTCGATTTTATCGTAAGTCAAATATTCGGAAAGCTCGGAATATCCATTCGGCCGCGCACATTTATTTCCCCAAATGTTCCCATTGAAATTCACCCCACGCGAATCACCCTCGCGCCGAAAATTAAGAGCAGAAAAGGTTTCCGTTGTTGCGGAAGAAGTTTCGCCGCAGAATTCCGCGCAAAACCGCGACGCAGAATTATGGGACAGATAGACGCCGGGATACAGGGATCGATTAATGGAAGCCGGCCGTCAATGCGGTTTGGCGAAAAGTAACCGAAACTGCGACCAATCCTCAGAGCGTGATGCGAGAATGGTTTCCGGTTCAAATGGAATTTCGAGCGTTTAACTGACAGCTGAGGAATTTGCGCTATTGATGGTGTTTTAGCAAATAATCTTTGTCGCTTGCTAAGCGTGACATTTTTATCGAAATGGGTAAAAAATGTGTAAGAAATTCAAACCATGTAGCTAAGAAATTAAGTCAAGAGAAGTGAAAAATAAAAAATATATGTATAATGAATAATAATATAATAACATGTATAATAATATGTATAACAAATTTTATATTAATAACAATTTAATTAATAAAAATATATGTACCTTTGCCAGTAGTGATGATTCAAAGACATATCGCACGCAATTACGAGAACGCACATAATGCCAATTTATCTTTTAATTTATCCCCACTATTGATCGCACTATTAATTCTCTAGGGTCTTATTGTATTTAATTAAAGGTGTGCTCCACTTGACGCTGCTTTGAAGCTGCAAGGTCCTTCGCTCTGATTGGTCCAACGTTGCGAAGTGAAAATAGCGTCAAATGGAGTGCACTCTGGATCAATGGTTTGCTAGACCACTAAATACAGAAATTTGAATAGAGAGGAAAGTTTGTAACGAGAAAATGATCGCGCGTAATATTGACAGTAGTGGTTAATAAACAGTTCCACGTGTCTAGAAGAAAAATAATCACGTGCTATTTAGATAGGCATTTTAAAAGTGTATATATCTTATTCTAAATTAAAATTATTAAGCTCTGAATAATAATATTTTCTGTAATCAATATGCTTCAAGATTATCTCTTAAAACATCACACAAAAGATTTGGAAGAAATATTAAATGCTACACAAGATCATGTGTTCTATTCAATACAAGTAAAGTAAGTTGATTTGTTTTTACTCTTGAATTTACTAGGTTAACAAAAATATATGTATAAATCAAAATTATCATATTTTAAACTTTACATATAAGATAAATAAAAAGATTAATAAGTTTTGTGATAAATCCTCTCTTTTCTCTTTTTTTCAATAATGTTTTTATCATATAATCTTGCATAATGTTTTAGTTTTGTATCGTTATTTGAAGCTGATGTGGAGAATGCACAGAAAATCTTACGCAATCCTAGACATTATTTACCATTGTGCGATGAAGCAGCGGTAAAAGCTCAGGAACAATTATGTAAAACAGATCAAACAGTAAAGACCAGAGTATGAATTTTTAATTTTTCTACTAATTACTTGTATATGAATTGTGCATTATTTAATAAAAACAGGAATTATTTTTTAATATTTATATTCTATATTCTAATATTTATATTATTAATCTCTTGTTTTATTATAATATATTAAAATAGGTTCATGTTAGAATTGCTGCAGTACCAATAAAAATCGACACAGGCCAAATTGGTCAACTAGTTTCAACCTCTGGAATAGTGGTTCGCATGTCTCAACCTACAATTATGAAGATAAAAAAACGTTTTATCTGTAAAAAGTGTGAACATATCAGTATAGTTAAGGTATATAAATATCATATAAATATCATATATAAATATTATATTCAGCATAAATATAAAATACAGCTAGAACATAAAAATGAATTGTAATTTGAAGCTTACACTCATTTTTTCTCTAATATGCATATAAATATATATAAATTATATTTCTAATATTTTCTTATAGTTAGAGTGGGAAAGGCAATTGTTTAGAAATATCAAATGTTGTGAAGCATGTAATTCGCCAAATATAACAACTTTAACATCTTTAGAACAAGATGATTGTTCAGATTACCAAGAAATAAAAATTCAGGTACAAAAAGCTTTATATTGTTATTACCATTACATATATTATATTTCCCATATTAATAATATTTATATATGTATACAGGACAAATGTAAAATAGATACGAGAAGCTGTTATTCAGTGGGTCTACAAGTAATTCTGTTAGATGATTTGACCGACAAATGTAGACCTGGTGATAATGTAGACATCAGGTTAGTAGCTTATATTTGATTGTGAAAAATAGCAAATGAAATATTACCATTTTTAAAATGTAATGTTAAATCTAATCCTAAAATTATATGTTTATGAAAATATTTTTAGTGGAGTAGTTATTCGAAAATGGAGTACATTAAAAGTTGGCCATCGCGCAGAAGCCACAACATTTTTAATGGCCAACAACATCTCGATACGCAGAAAAATCTCAGAAGCAACGTTTTCTACTGCTGAAATAAAAGATACTTTTACAGCATATTGGGAACATTATAAAGATAATGCATTAATTGGTAGAGACAATATTCTTGCCTCTATTTGTCCTCAGGTATATTTAATATTTTTATATATTACGAAATATAATATAAAATGTATAACATAGATATAATTAGATATAATTTCCTATTGTCCTTTATTATTTACAGCTATATGGAATGTATATTGCAAAATTAGCATTGGCTGTTATTTTGTGTGGTGGAGTAGCAAAAACCAATGAAACGGGAACACGTATAAGAGGTGAACCACATCTCCTTTTGGTTGGAGATCCTGGAACTGGTAAATCACAATTGCTTCATATTGCGTCTCGATTAATTACACGATCTGTCTTTACAACTGGTATTGGTACTACTGCTGCTGGACTTACAGCAGGTGCTGTCAGAGTTAGTATATCAAATAATTTATATCTATTTATCTTATTCTTCAATTTAAATAATTATTTAGTAAATAATCTACCATGAAAGATGTATTGTAGGATTCGGATGGTTGGCACTTAGAAGCTGGAGCTTTGGTCCTTGCAGATGGAGGTGTATGTTGCGTGGACGAGTTCACGACAATGAGTTCACATGATAGAACCTCTGTGCATGAAGCAATGGAACAACAAACCATCTCCATAGCTAAAGCCGGCATGCTGACCACTTTAAACAGCCGTTGCTCTGTCATTGCAGCGATTAATCCAGATGGTGGATGTTTTACTGGTGAAGAATGGAAAACCTGTTTAGGAAATCCTCTTTTATCGCGTTTCGATTTGATCCTCCTTCTGAAAGATACTAGAAATCCCGAATGGGACAGAATGACATCGAGTCATATTTTGAAAGCTGCTTGTGAAGATGAAGAAAATAACTCGTAATATCTGTATTTCATAACATCAATATAATCAACATTAACATCAATATAATTTGTAGCAACAAAATATTTGTAAAATACTACTTTACAGATATTCTGAAACATATATGGGTCCTTTGAACTTAACAGGTTTGTGGATGGAAGAGACTCTCTGTGAATATTTCGCGCACGTACGTACATGGAAACCAGTGTTAACCGAAGAGGCAAAAAAAATACTTAGTGCAACTTATCTTTATCACAGATCAGATCCACATAGAAGGCCTGAAAGAACAACAGTACGACTTTTAGATAGCCTTATCAGGTATAATAAGAAATTAATCAATGCAATTAGTTACACCAGAATTCTTTCTTGCATGCTATTATTCTAAATCAAATTTGCACGCGCGCGTGCAACACAATTATTAACGATGATTTATAAGTTGATAACATTAGTGAACTTTTTTAATTATTTCAGATTAGCAGAGGGCCATGCAAAACTTATGTATCGAACTAAAGTAGAAATTATTGATGCTATAACTGCAGCAGAATTGATTGGAACCACCATGTTAAATTCTGATGTTGGTTGTCCATTTCCTACAGATCCAATTGCAACATATTATTCCAAAGGTATGCATATCAAACAAAATTACATAAATACATATCATATTTAAAAATTTTTTCAACATAATACTACAGTTTTAATATTTTCTTATAGCAAAAGACTTACTTAAAAGACTTGAATTACAAGAATTAGAATCATGTATATAAATATCAATTGCTAATGAAATATTTTTATAACAAATATCTATTAATCTTTTAAAACAAATACAAGAAGTTTTTATTCAATGGGTCTACAAATAGTTCTGTTAAATGAGCTGATCGACATAAGTAGATCTTGTGATAGATTTTATAAAAATATGCACATACTGTGATTTTACATAGAAATCTACATTTAATATTTTTAATAATTATTTGTAAACGATTAGTTTTAAGATTTTCAATTGTATTTATATAATATTTATTACTATTCTAATACGTGAAGAAATACAAATAAACATAAGTATATTTCCAACAAATAACAGCATTTTTTAGTACTTTGATTAGAAAAATCATATAAAATCATATCCCTATAACAATTATAAATTGTTTTTTTGACACATTTGTATAAGCTAAAATACAATATAAATATTCATAAACTTCATAATATTATGAATATATATTTACAAATATATATTAATATATTTATAATATATATTCATAAACTTCTTTCTGTTACATAATCTGCAGAAAGCAAAAATTTAATTTAAAAAAAACAATTAGAATAAAAAATTTAAATTATATATAAATTTTATATATATAAAGGAATGTATACAGGATTTTATAAGGTTTACAAAAAGACTGCATATCAACAATCATAAGTAAATTAGCATTTATATTAATATTTAACAAATTTGAATGAAATTATGTTCCATACTCAAATTTTCTGATTATCTAGACTTAGAAAGATTTAATTACCATTTTTCTTTTATCATAGTAATTAATCATAGCTTATACATAATCATATTGTTATGAAACTATGCCATTAAAATATGAAAGCTAGTAAATAGAAGCAATTATAATATAATAATAAAATTATAGATATGATTATCAATAACTCACTCATATCATTGTAATTTAATTTCTAGATCTCATAAATATAAACGGAAATAAAATACAATAATGAATAGACAAAAAATTAAATACACATTAATTTTGAAAGATTTCTTTAGAATATCCATTAATACTTTAAATATTTGCTATAACTGTACAATTAATGTTAATACAACATACATCGGAGAATAAATTTAATCGTGAAGCAATTTTCGTATATTACAGTGATTCATTGTAAGAATAAGTTTTGTAAATACACTGCATTTCTATGGTTATTTTGCATAATCTGTAAACAGTGGAACTAATGAGATCTATCCACTTATTTGAATGATAAAGCCAGAATATAGTGTATATCTGAAGAACAAATAAATGATAGTTATTTAATTAATAACGTGGCTGGCTAGCATTAGCCATTTGTGAACGAATTGCACTTGCCGCAGCATTGCTCGCAACGTTTTGCACATGCTCGTTTCGCAAAAATGTTGTAGCAAACTCTTGCTGTGCCTTTGTAACACTCGCATCAGAATTACGATAAATACGATGAATCTATAAATATATAATTTCATTTGTGCTTCATTGAAATCAATAAATTAGTATTCAATTTTTCAATAAACGTACTATACCTTACTGAGCAGTAAGAGATCACCACCTGCAGCAAGAAGAAAGCAAATAGCAATGAAGAGCATGAGGAGACCAATAAAAATACCTTTGGCCGTCGAATCCAACATCTTAATCGCTGTTATTAGACCACTACAATATAAAAGATGCAATTTATATTAGCATACAAGTATTTACATATGTATAAAACTGAAATGTAATCAAAAAATATATATTACCAAGTTCCAGCACCGGGAATACCTATAGCCTGTATACTTGTCACAATAAGTTGAAAGAAGAAGACGAAGAAAAAGACCATAAAGTTGAAAGAGCTGTCATTCCTGAAAAATTAAAGTGACGATTTATTTTTCTAATTCTTATGCTTTGTTTGATTCTTGTGATATCAAATAAAATTTACTTGAAAGCCCTGTACGCTGGTCGAAACCAACACATGAAGGAAAATGGAGTAAAGAGTATAAGATACAGGATTGCTAGACCAAATACTGAGAAACCCTCGTCACAAAGCATCAAAACAAATCCTCCAATTACATTCATTAGCAGGACCCATCCATGAACTATAAACAATATTATTAAATATTCAATACACATATGACATTAATAACTAAACATATTAATATTGTTTACAAATTAAACTTACACATCCAAAGATAATATAATTGTCTCACTATTTTTTGAAAATCAGTGTGAATTTCTACATCAATATCTTGATAAAAGCATGGTTGGAAACAACATTTGTCTGGTAGTGGTGGCCAATTATTTCGCCTTGCTGTGATATCAAGAATTTCAATAAATATCTTTACTTATATAAAAAATGATATTATTTAAACTGAGAATTGTAATTATAATACAAATGATAAACTAACGGTAGTAAGGAGTATTTCTTAATTCTTCTTCTGCTCTGGCTTTCCATTCTGGTTCAGCTCGTTGCTAAAATATATAAATATATTCTCTATCTTGTCATAAAACACTTTCAAAGTTTTATAAAAAAAATTGCATAGAAACATTAAATTTCAGTGTAAATTTACATCTGACGAAGGTGACAAAGAACTTCCAAGCGCTGTATTGACTGTTTGCTGGGGAGTGCGAGCATATGCAGGAGGAGGTGCTTCTTGATTAGTAGGTTGAAGTGTGGCTGGTTGTTGCGTTGCACCAACTCCACCATAAATCGGCGGATTCACCGCTCCTCTGACTTGTGTAGTCCCTTGAGTACCTTGCTCAGCAAAAGGATTATAATCTTCAAGACCTCTACTAGCAGGTGTAGAAGTTACTGCTCTTCGTATTGCTGGATCCTATTATTCATGTTAATACACATCTATTAATTATATTTCTTATCTCTTGTTTTATCTTAATGTATTCTCTTTTTGTATTACATTTAAATATGAAATTATGTTTTACATATTTTCCAAAATACAAAATAGGATATGCTATAATAGATTACTATTAGAAGGCACATTTTTATAGATCGCACTTAAAATTTCTAAAGAAAAATAATAGGATAATATATCTTATTACAAAATTGCATGTAAAATAATACAGTATCATATACAATATAAAGTAGAAACATGACACAGTTAGATTTTGCGATAAAAAAATTATCAATTGTCTGATAACGGAAAAAAAAAAATTATTAATATAAAGGCGCAAAAAGATATTTTTGCCAACATTAGAATGACAATCAATAATTATAAATCGAATTTTAGGTAGGTGTCACGTATCGTCCGATAGATTGTGATTAACCTTTCCTGAAGTAGACGATGAAAAAAAATATCGGCGAGACGGATCGACAAATTTTGACAGATACGCAAGCAATATTGGAGAACGGAGTTGCGTGTTCCGTCATTCTGTTTGACACGCACAGGCTACTTACCGAGAAGGGATCGTTGATCGTGGGCTCCCCGAAGGGATTCTCGTCGAAGCCGGACATCCTTTGTCCTTGTTCCTGCGATATACGGTCAAAACGCACAGAATTCGTACGATTTCAATATGCTGATTAATCTTATCTAAATCTACCTAAAACCAATGTGCCATGATCAGTCAGTTATGTACGATAACACCGACTGCACTCATTCATCTCGAAATGACATCTATTGCTACCAACCTACTTACCTATTACTAGAGACACCGACAAAGTACTATTAAAGACGGTCAATCTTAAGGTGCAATTTCATTGACGCTAGAAACCAGCGGCAAATTAAAATCACTAGACTTTCTCTAGATATGGCGTCAATAAAATAAAGTTCAAACAGTTTCAACTTTTTCAGTGTGTAAAGCGGCCTTTTCATTGACGCTACTTTTTAGCGTCAATGAAATTGCACCTTAACAGTTGGCAACCCTACGGGATAGGCTGTGCAGCACTGCGCGTATATAAAATAAATTTGAAATCGCTTCTAGCCTAACCATCTTCACGCGATCGACTTTATTTGAATTGCACGGCATCGCATCGAATTATGATGGCGGCGCCGATTTGTTCGAACGTAATTCGGGACATCGCGATACTGTATAAGCGTCGAATGAGCACGAATTGTCACGCAAATATGATAAATCACATCTACTCACCGTTCACCGGCTGTTCCACAGGCCGCTCCACTCGCTCGCCTCGGGACGTCCCATTCCGATCTTGATGCACACGATATCATCAACGCGAATGCGTGACACTTTATTCGGCACTCCCGATATTCGCTCGCATCCGATAATCATCATCAAGGGCGCAAATAACGCGACGCGACTTCGCTCCATCTTCGCGATCGCGCTATCACTGAACTGTGAAAAATAGCTGTCGCGCACTTTCACCAACATATTATGAAAGTCGCGCGATCATCCTTGGACACTTTCGACGCTCTTTCACTCGCGATATTCGTTTAAAAACGGTTAAAAGACGCGAAAAATGCGGACGTACGACGATCCGTGTAACTGCGTATGACTCCGATTCACGTATGACGCGTATGACGTAGCAGTGACGCGCTAACATGGCGGCCGAACCAGTGCGCATTCGTTTCTGCGCAGAAACGAATGCGCACTGGTTCGGCCGCCATGTTAGCGCGTCACTGCTACGTCATACGCGTCATACGTGAATCGGAGTCATACGCAGTTACACGGATCGTCGTACGTCCGCATTTTTCGCGTCTTTTAACCGTTTTTAAACGAATATCGCGAGTGAAAGAGCGTCGAAAGTGTCCAAGGATGATCGCGCGACTTTCATAATATGTTGGTGAAAGTGCGCGACAGCTATTTTTCACAGTTCAGTGATAGCGCGATCGCGAAGATGGAGCGAAGTCGCGTCGCGTTATTTGCGCCCTTGATGATGATTATCGGATGCGAGCGAATATCGGGAGTGCCGAATAAAGTGTCACGCATTCGCGTTGATGATATCGTGTGCATCAAGATCGGAATGGGACGTCCCGAGGCGAGCGAGTGGAGCGGCCTGTGGAACAGCCGGTGAACGGTGAGTAGATGTGATTTATCATATTTGCGTGACAATTCATGCTCATTCGACGCTTATACAGCATCGCGATGTCCCGAATTACGTTCGAACAAATCGACGCCGCATCATAATTCGATGCGATGCCGTGCAATTCAAATAAAGTCGATCGCGTGAAGATGGTTAGGCTAGAAGCGATTTCAAATTTATTTTATATACGCGCAGTGCTGCACAGCCTATCTCGTAGGGCTGCCAACTGTTAAGGTGCAATTTCATTGACGCTAAAAAGTAGCGTCAATGAAAAGGCCGCTTTACACACTGAAAAAGTTGAAACTGTTTGAACTTTATTTTATTGACGCCATATCTAGAGAAAGTCTAGTGATTTTAATTTGCCGCTGGTTTCTAGCGTCAATGAAATTGCACCTTTATGGGAGTTAGCGGCCAAAAATAAATTGGAAATAGCACAAAGTTTTTAATGAACAATAGCTCAATGTGATTACTCTTTAATTGCTCTATCAGAATCAACAATTGTTCTGTTTTCAAAATTAATATATTTTTTTAATATTTACAAAAAACGTAAAAGTAATAATTTTCATTGAAAAATATATTTTTAATAATTTTTTGCAATTATGTTTAATATAAAACAGTTATTCCTTAATTGCTGTTTATTGCTACATCATGACTTTTAATGATTTATTGCATTTTTTATTAAAAATTAATAAATTAATCATTTTATAAGTGACGACGTCTTCACCTATTGGCTGCCTGTTAGAACTAGTAGGTCAACGACAATGGCGGGAATATTTGAATATAATATAACAATTCTATTGCTTACAATTGTGTATTAAAGAGTTTAACCAATATTTTCTAATGATCTTTTGGTAGAATAATTGCTCCTTGTTTACTCTATTTAATATATTCAATTATTATATTTAACTGTTCTATTTTTAAAATTATTAACTTGCTTTCTTAGAGTATTTACAAAAAAGAAATTATTTAAATGTTTATTTATATTTGAGAAAATATTTTCTTTATTATTCTCAAGAATTTTTATTACAATCATGTGATAGCTTAAAAGTAGTTGAAAAGTATTGTTATAGAGCAAGATGATACAAAATATTGATTTCTAAAATAGTTATCTCTATTCTATTATAATTTTTCTGACAGTTTTAACATAATCTTTTATTTTCTAAAGAATTTATTTTTAGCAGTATTAATTATTTTATTCATTATTACATATTATTACGTATTATTACATAGTTGCTTAGTGAAAAGTGTACTTAGATTTTCACGCGCAAAATATCATACAAAAAATCTATCTATATCTTTTGCAATGTTAATTTTGCACTATTAAGTTATTTTTATATCTTATGAAATATTTAGAGAAAACTTTAATCAGAAAGTCAAAAATACAAAAAAAATTTTACACACAATTACAAATATTTTTTACTTAAATCCATTCTTATACAACATATAAAAAATCGATTTTTGTATAGGAGATTTATTATATTATAATTATTCAATTTTGATTATTATCTTTTATTTTCTAAAAAGTTTCAATTGTTAGCATTAATTATTTTATTCATAATTGTGTATGAACACCTGATTGAAGATATACTATTATATTTTCGAAGTTAGTTTCTGAATAGAGTTTTAACATAGTCATTAAATAATACTCTACAAAAAATATAGAGAAACACTTTAAGCCTTAAAAAGCCTTAAATTATTAAAAAGAGATAGCGATTTTTTGTGACTATTTTGTAGCAAAAGCTACAACAACATTTTACTTCATTTAATAAAATTATATCTTGACTCTAACAATGAAATGATTAGTCAGTTATTTAAATATATTATGATTTTTGGGCAATTATTAAAAATATATTATATCTTAATTAAATAAATAATTTTATTGCAAAAGTTATTTATTTAATTGTTTATAGATGTTTATTATTTATAATAGAATAGCATATAGTTAATAGAATGAGAGGAAAAATTATGAAATAATTTGTTAGCATATGCTTTAAAATTATAAAATAGACTAAATTTTTTATTATATTCTTTTATATAATCTAAATTACAAAAGTTTTGTAAAATTTCTTTCGTTTGTAATTTAGATTATATGAAATAACATAATATAAGGATATTATTTTCTCAGTTTAAAATGCAGATTGCCATTTTGTTATCATCATTTTGTTGCACTAATACAATATTACTTATAGTTTGCATTAGATCTAATTAAATGCAATACGTGGGAAGAAAAATTAGAATTACTGCTCGCTTTTCGAAGGATATCAATGTATTAACTGTTGAAAATCAGAAACTTTTATGTTCGACGTTTTATGACCATATAATCGCTATACAAGATTATAATATAACATTATTGCCACGTCTGAAATCATCTATAATCTTATTAAAACCCACGCTTACGCCTATCACTTTTGCTAAAAAGGATTATAGTCTACATAAAGTAAATTTGATTAGAGCGTAATAATTTGTCATTTTTAAGATTATTTTTATAAATAAAAGATATTTTTAGATTATCGAAAGTGTAGTACAAATACATTACGTGGAAGGTATTTATATCACAATAATGGACAATGACAAAATAGAATCACTTATTAACGAAACATTGTAAAGAAAAATATGATGAAACTGCTTTTAGATATATAGCTGCTCTGGAGAAAGCATATTAGAAAGATATGATCATTTTTTAGGGGACGTACAATAGAAAAGGTATAATTAAAATTGAAATATTAAATTCTCAAAAAAATGCATACAGCTTTTGTTTTCTTTGTATTATCTTTAATATTAGAATTATTTAATATAAATAAAAATCACTCTTGTTTCCTGTTTATATTTTGAAACATTTTTATGCTAAGAATATTTCTATCTATAAGCTCGTCGAAAAATCGTAGACAAAAAGTTAAAAAAGCAATTTGAAGCTTGAAGTTTCAACTTTTACGCGCAGTTGGTGGTTTTTAAATTTTTTTTATCTTCCTTATTCTGCGCTTTAAGAAAGAACACACTGTTTAATTCTTTAAAATTATGTATTTTTAACACGCTTCAACTTAATAAAAAAAATTTTTCTCAAGAAATTCAACTCAAATTCCACAAACTTCAACATTTTGTATACAAAACGCTTTTTTTAAATTTTCCTACGATTTTTTTTGACCGAGTAATACAATTTTGAAAATAAACCAATACTTCTTATATATGATGTTAATACTCGGCAAAAAATTATTGTAGACAAAATTCTTATATATGATGTTAATACTCCGCAAAAAATTATTGTAGACAAAATGAATATATATATATATATATATATATATATATGTATATGTACAGATTTTTAGATATGACAAAAGATATTAGTTACTATTAACAAAATTCTAATTATAATCTATTGAACACTATTACAAAACTTATTATAATGCGCAGAAAATTCAAATACTACAATCTAATATAATTAAATTTTTTCATTTTGTACTATATTATAATATACATATATATATATATATATATATATATATATGTATATATATATATATATACACAATGTAGGGCTGAATAGCTCAGTGGTAAGAGCAGTCGCCCGGCAAGCAAAAGACTCGGGTTCGATTCCCGATTCAGCGACTTCGCCCCGATATTTTTCTCATCTATGTCTCTTCAGGTAAAGAGGATTTTATAGAATTTCTTAAAAATGAGAATCTATATCTTGGTTAATTGCACCAAGTAAAATATATGCATATGCCGTGTTTTCGTTTAAATTTCGTGTACAATTAAAAAGAATTTTTAGGCATTACCATCCGCTGTAGTTCGTAGACGCTAGTTTTCTTATTCATGTTATTTAAATTATTTAAATCTTTTCCATTTCACATATGCAACAATCTTTAATCTTCAATAATCTATGTAGTTACATCTTCCTACTCTTACTTCATGGTCGGATTATAACAATCAAATATGCATTGAACAAAGTAGGAATAATTTTAATGTGACATTTGCCTTCATGCTGAAAAAAGAATTGTTAGAGATTCTATAAGTGAAAATGGAAAATCATCATAGAATATTAAACATGCTTATATTTTTTAATTAATTCGTGCATATATATATATATATATGTGTGTGTGTGTGTGTGTGTGTGTGTGTGTGTGTGTGTGTGTGTGTGTGTGTGTGTGTGTGTGTGTGTGTGTGTGTGTGTGTGTGTGTGTGTGTGTGTGTGTATAATTGCAAAAGTAATTTATAATTTGTATAAATACTATTTGCATAAATTATTTAATTTAAAACAAAAAGATGTGCATTTTTTTAAATATTAACTTACCAATTTATCTCAATTATTTTATTAGAAATGTATAAAAAAATAATTTAATATTCAAATATATAAAAATAATATATTATCATAAATTCAAAATATTATTTAAAAATTAATATATTAGTCAATTCTTTAATGAAATTTAAGGCTGCTCTAATTTATTGTCTTTTTATTGAGAGAAAATAAATCTATATGTACATATACATTTTCTACATTTTTAATATTTTATTTCTTATGTAACAATTTGTTTACTTATTTTTCTTTTCTTCTTAATTTATAAATCATTTATTAAAGAAAATTTTTTGTTTATAATTTATTCAATTTTTTCTTTAAGTAAATATATTTTATTTTAAATATTTATTTATTTAATTAAAAATGTGTTTACAAAAATTAGTTGAAATATTGAACATAAAAATGTTATACCAAACTATTATTATTGAAAACATACAATTCTACATATAAGTCACATAATAAAAATTAATTTTTATTAAACGTACATTTAATGAAATGTTTTTTCTACATTACATAACTTTTCTTCGTTGCGTTTTCATTGGATGGGAAAAAGATAAAATCTATTTTTAAAAAAGTGAGTCGAAGCCATATCGTCGTTCAGAGTCGAACCATTTTAATTTTGGTACAACGTTCTGTTTATAATGTTGCGATAAAATGTCGACAACCATACATTACTTTATAACATTGTTTTATCTCGGTGCATTCTCTATGATATGTGGTTTGAGTGAATCTTTGCGAAAAATGCGTAAGTGCGAAAAATTTTTTATTTTAGTTATTTCATTTTTCAATTAGAATCGATGTGATGAAACATGATTTTATTGAAAATTTAATCTTATTATTGTGTTATAAACCGACTTATAAACTTTAAAAGAAAATTTTAACATTAACAACTAATTCAATTTTAAATTTACAAAGTTAAATTAAAATTTGATAATATAATTATAAATAGCAATTATATTCTTTATTATAAACATTTTCTTTATATTTATCTTATTAAAAAATGGTTTGAGTACAAATTTTAAGATGGAAAAGATTGTATATGCATAATATATAACAATACATTTATATCAAATAATAAAACTTAATCAGTTAATTCGTAATAATTTAAAATAAAAGTGAATAAAAACAGAAAAAATACAAAAACACGTTAAGAAAAATAATAGTAGTAATAATAGTAGTAATAATATATGGTATATTTAATAATTTGATGTTTGCAATCTCTAATTTTAAAATATACATAAATTTGTAATATGCATATATTTGTAATTTTAAAACATAAATTTCTATCGATATACAACATTTTTTAATTAAATTTTTTTGACTAAGTTACTTTTTTTTATGTGTTGCTTACTAATAAATATAGATCTATCTGCGATCATGCAACTTACTGCAATTTTTAGCTGTGATTGAGGCCAATGTCACCAACGACGATGTCACGGAAATGCAACATACTGTTTGTAAAATTACAACAGAAGATGTGATCGCGAATGCACGTGCCACTGTTACAACAGTGCTCACCGGAGCGTGTAAGGCAAGTAAGTAAATGTCAAAATCAATATTAAATATATTATTGGATTAATATACTAAATATATATATATATATATATATATATATATATATATATATATACTTTATGAATTGTGTTACAATCTTTACGATTTTCCAAGCTTGTTTTAATATATGATATCAAATAAAAAAGAAAAAATAAAATATGTAGAATAATACTGTACATAGAAAGAGTCTCAACTTATGGAATTTAATAAAATCAATTTAAACAAAAATAAAAGTAAAAATAATTATATTATTTTTATATAATTTAAGTAAAAATAATTATATTTTCTACTCAATGCAGAAAATTGAACTTTAGAAAGGAATACATTTTTTTTATTAGAATAAGATAATTCTGCCCTTAGTACACACGGGAAGTTAATACTAATTTATAAAAACATGTGCTTCCAGAGGCAATGGATGAAAAGTTTGCAAGATTAGAAAAAAAATTCATTAAGGAACTTGCGGATATTAAATGGATACTTTATAACATTTTGGAGCAGCAGCCAAATTATCTAAAAAATATACAAAACACTAATCTTTATGATGGAATATCCAATGATTTTTTATCACCGAGACAAGATGAAATCGATAAATTCAACAATACTATACAAAATTTATCAACATCAAATGGTTAGTGCAATTACAATGAATTAATTTTAGTACACATTTGTAAAAAGAGAAAAATTAAGTTTATTACAATATATGTATTAATTTTTGAAAATTTCTAATGACGAAAAACATGCGTTTATTGATATATAGTTTATAATAGCAGTAGTCTGAAGTTAGCTTTATGCTCTTAGCTAAACACAAAGTAGTTCTTCAGCAACTGGTGAGTCTAAAGTTCTCAAAACTTTGCAAGTGCTTCTGCTACCATATTGAATTCTACACATATATATGAATGTGTATGTAATATTAGTTCTGTACGCAAATAAACTTGGTGACTAAAAAATAATTTTATAATTACTGCAATGTATAATATAACATATCTCAAAAAAATCAAAAATAAATTCTTTTATTCTATATATTAATTTATTCTATATATTTTATATTAATTATTGACATTAGCTTTACAACAAACAATTTACACATATTAGAAATTTATAACAACATTTTTCTTAAATATACTATAAATCAAACTATCATTTATTGTAAAATTTAACATTTAATATAAAATGTTATAATCAAAATTTGAATTAAATTCTGAATTCTAAACAAGCAATTTTTGTAATTTGATTACATTCCAAAAGCTTAGCATGGAAAACTAAATTAACTTCATCTTCAGTCGCTTATCAATTAATTAAAATCAAAATGTATAATCAAAATGTATAATCTTTCTAAAAAATTAAAATTAATTACAAAACATAATATTTTAATTTTGCATGCGTCAACGTATAACATAAATGTCATTCTAGAATAATGACTAAAAATAAAATACGGATTTTACGTATGTAGAATTCTTGTATTTCTTGCATAATATGCATTGTTACTTTCGAATCTAAGCTAGGCATTTATATGTAAGAGATATGTGGTTTCATGCAAATGTGGATCTGTTGGAGGCGTGTTGCGGAAAGTTCACCTTGTCCAACGCGCATGTGACAAAACTAAAGCTAAAGTCGGGATAAACATAATTCAATCGTAATGAATGGTGTAACAAAATATCGAGATTTATTTCGTGTTGCAGTATACGATTAACTCTGCGTTATTATCTCTCTGTTGCATTTAAATAGTAAAAATACTATGTAATCCACTGAGAAATATATAAAAGCCATAATACAATTACTACTAAATAATTATATTGTTAGATTTCAATTGTTAATATATTTGATATCCATGACATCCATGAATAAACATGTGTGGTTGCGACTATATTGATCAATATCGTTTTATAAAAAATTATTTTTGTATTATGAATATAATTATTTCAAAATTAACACACACACATGTTGCATATCAATTTAATAAAAAAATTTAATATCTTAAATAGATTTTTTAGTAAAAGCTTAATAGCTTAACTGATTAAATGTTTAATATTTAAAAATACAAATTTAAAATATTTATTTATTTCTCATTTTTAATATTTAAAATATTTGATTATTGTCATTGTTTAATATTTAAGATATTTGATTTTAAATTAGCCTGTAATCTTAATGATTTGCCATAGTCAAACTTCTTAAATTATATTGTTAAGCAAAATTTATTTCAAATTTACTAAAAAAAAGATTTTGTTATTTGAAGCTTAGTTAATTTCTTTAGTTAATTTTTTTCGTCTTAATTTAGCAATTTTGGACTTTTTAGTTAACTTTACAATTAAAATTTCCACAATTAAAATTCTTGATGTTGAAAAACTTTAGAGATACATTAAAAAATATATATTTGATAATACATATCATAAAAATCTTTATATAAAAGTTAAAGAAAATACTGTCAAATGTTATATTAATATATTACATTAATATAAGGCTATCAAAAGTAAAAATTCAAAATTAATAAGTAACTCTTATCTACAGGTTCGGCAAATACATTCGTCTATTATTGGCAAGTAAAAAACTTTGACGAAATGCTAATAAACTGGCAAACTGGCCGCTCGATGCGTAGCCCTACTTTTTACGTAGGTCGAAACAGTTATGCCATGTATCTGAAAATCACGCCGAAATATTTTCCCGATGGTACGATTTTTGTGGGAGTCGGATTGACACATGGCCGTTATGATGCCGTTCTCACATGGCCTTTTCCACACAGGATTCGCCTCGAGGTATGTAAAAGCATAACAATGAAAGTGCCAAGTTGAACTCGGAAAAAAAAATCTAACGTGCCCGAGTAAAATAAAATTTCACAAGGGATTATGGGTAATGCAATTGCACGAAGCACAAAAGAGAAAGAGTTTGCGGACAGGTAGTCTCTCAATAGAGAAAAAACAAGAAGAATTGCGTTGAGATGTCGTACTGAATCCTCATCACGGTTGCATACGAAAGACTACCGAAGGACGGGCTCGGACAAAATTTTTTAATGTAATCGAATTCAAAATAAGTTAAAGAAGTTATGACTTCGTACGTTTTTTTATTATATTGAATTTATAAATGTTACAGATTACATATACTTATATAACTTTCGAACGTAAAGAAATATATATAATTTTTTAATATTTTTCTTATTTAAAATAATGAGAATTTTATTTCTTCAATAATAATCATACTATTGAAGAAATAAATATGAAATCAATAATAATTCTCTAGAAATATAATAATAATATATAATAAAATTAATTATAATATATAATAATAATATAATAAAATTAATTAATTAAATGCGATTATCGATATAATGCTCGATAGGTTTTGGATCATTCTCTGGAGGACATACGCGAAGATCGACGATCTCGAATTTGGGATCCGGCTACACTTTGCACTGAAAATTTCTGGGGTAGGCCTGCGAGAAAGGCAGATAATCCAGAATGTGTCGGACTGAGTATCTCCAGACATATTATTCGATCAAAACCATTCATATTTCAACGATATTTAAGAAATACAAGATACATGTGGAATGGAAGTGTGCTAATAAAACTTAATATTTATCTGCATATTATTTGAGATAAAGCTAATTGTCAGAAAATAACATTTGTTATGCAATAAATATATGCTCTGTTATTATTAAAAAAATATATATTATAATTTATTTTAAAAAACTAGAAAGAAAAAATAAATTAATCGTTATTTTAAATATTAATTATCTAGATAACAGGTTTCATAGGATTTATTGAATACAAATCAGATCCAATTTAACAATTATTTAAGAAATGTCTGATTTACTAACAATAAATTAATTAAGATTCTGCTATTTAAAGAGATAAGGTACATACAAATAAATGTATAATCATTATAAAGACTTCTATAAATAAATAAATATTTATAATAAAGATTCCTAATTCTATTCTAACTAGCATCCATATTTTGGTTTATATATTTATGTTTATATATTTTCATGGACATTACGTTTGTAGCAATGAAATTCTCCTAAAAGTTGTAGGAAAAATTTAAAAAGTGTAGTCACATAATTATAATAATTCTTTCATTTACATTTGTTTAATTATGACTAGAAACCATAAATGAAAATAAATATAATAAGTATTAAGCCATATCGAGATATAAATGTCGTAAGTAAATAAAAGCAAAACAAAGGGATATAATAAAACCCTGCAAAGAAATATAATCACATTCATGTTTTCGAGAGTTTAAAAAAAGATAATTTTTTTAATTTTAGTTATATAAAATTAAATGATATTATTTTAACATAATTTTTATATTATATATTTGATATTGATATTGTAGTGAATATTAACAAATAATATACATTAAAAATAAAAATATCTATATAGTCCCATTTGTGTTAGAGAAATACTGGCGACACTCGAACGTCAAGTTGTATTCGTCAAAATTAACTTTCCTGTCTGTCACGTAGAGGCATTCGATTCGAGACATAAACTTGTGGCATCTGTTGCAATTGATAATTCTCACGATCAATTGTGTTCCAAGTGTTTTGCTTAGAGGTATTCAGGAGTGTTCTGAGTAAATGAAGCAACGTAGAAATACGTGGTTCTTTCTTTTCTTCTCTTTTTTCTTCTGAAACATATCTGCCACATCCTACGAGAGACCGAAAATACTCAATTACTAAAATTTTATTTATTATAGTTTAAAAGCATATGCGGTTTTATAATTTATTCTATTTTCAAAACAACTATTTTCATATAGAAACTAGCAAAAAAGTTTTAATTGTTGGAAAATATTTAATATTACAGTATATTTGTGTTATGCTACGTACACAAAAATTTTTTTATAATATTTGTAAATTAATATTAATTGCTAAAAAATTGGAATTACGTCTTACCCGTAAAAGCATTGCAAAACGGTCTCTTTGGCTTCATTGTATTCTCCATCATAAGGGCGTCTAGAAGCTGTCGTTCGAACTAAAATGAATTGTATCAATTGCATTCTTAGAGATGTTTTTTCTTTCAAAATGTGAAATTTGAGTAATCCTCAAATATGGATAGATTCTATTAAATAATTTGTGTCCAAGAGATGCATATTTTACATCTTGAAGATATAAACAAGAATACACTCTAGCACTTTCTAATTCTGTCATATTTTACAAAATAATTATATAAATTAATAACAATTTTGTCATATTTTACAATCTGGTAATATTTCTGTCATATTTTACAAAATTTAAAAAATTTTTCTGATAATTCTGATAATTCTGATAATTCTGATAATAATTGGTTAAAAGAGGAATATATTTTTATAAAATGCACTGAACAAATACAAATTCGTTAAAATCTGTCTTACCTTTTCTTTCGAAACTTCAGTATTTACCATCTGCAGTAGAGACATGCAAGCCAGCATACAACAAAGATATTCAGTAATCTGTGGAACAAAAGAAGGAGTCAACAAATGCAAAACTATTTCTATATTTTTTATAATAATATTGTAAATATAATAAAAATAATGAAATAAGCGGTACATTTATATAAATCGTTTGCAAATATTTACGTTATATAAGCATTGCATAGAGTCCGTAAATCCGACTGTTAAGCTGCTTAAGTATTCTAGATCAATTTACACAATGTTTAATTAATAATTAGCGAAGTTATGACATTATTTGTCACGCCGTACAAAACACACTCGATTTCCTTTAATTAACTTAACAAAAACAATCAATAATGATTTTCCTCGCATAAACATATATTTTAATGTAGTTCAAGCAAATTTCTCAGCAATCGATTTGTATAATATGAAAATGACAAAATAAAGTATAATTTAAATCATTATTAATAGTATATTCGATATTGTTGTTCTTTTAAAAATTTTTGGAAATCTTTATAATTTTATAGTGGAAGCGTCGCGCGCAACACACATAGCCATATGTTAAACATTATTCTAATAATATATTACAGCAGTTACGTTCAAATATTTGCATATTTTTAATCAGCATAATGTTGTTTTAATTACAATATTATTAAAGTATATTTATATTATTTATAAATTTATATATTATATATAATTTATATTATTAATAAACCTATTCTAATTTATTGTAAGTTATTTTGTACATACTATGTGTATGTGCATTTTTTATATAAACGTATTATTACCAGATCTATCATCAGATTTTGTATCATTTGTATAAAATCTACTTTAAAAAAATATATATTAAATTCTATATTTTCTACACATTTTATAACTTTTCGAAAATAATATTAAATGTAATAGTTACAAATTAGATTTTCCATTAAAAAATATAACTTTTTTTTAATTATTCGAAAAAAATTTATCTCTTTTTTTTTGTCTACTATTTATCTACATATTTAAAATTTAACATATCTTCCTTAGTCGTTTTAATTGAAAAGATCTTTTATATTAAAGTTGATATATATTATTATTTTATATAAAAATTTATATTCGATAAGAAAACAATTATTATTGCATTATTATGCATTTAAATCTATATATTTAATTAAAATAATCAGATGCTATTGCATATAAGTGTTTAAATTTATATATACATATAAAAAATATATATATATATAAAATAATAACTTTAGTAATTAAAAAAACTGCAGGCATTTGCAAAAACATGAAATAATAAACCTATTCTAATTTATTGTAAGTTATTTTGTACATACTATGTGTATGTGCATTTTTTATATAAACGTATTATTACCAGATCTATCATCAGATTTTGTATCATTTATATAAAATCTACTTTAAAAATATATATATTAAATTCTATATTTTCTACACATTTTATAATAAAAATCTATAACAAAAAGAAATAAAATTTTATAACAGAAAACATTTTGTAGAATCTTCGTAAAGAAATAAATTGATATAAATATTTAGATATATGCATTTTAATTTATATATACATTAATATAAAATATATATTTCTAAAGAAATATTATATATATTTAAAAAATTATAAATATATTAAAATCTGAAGAATTATGACACACATTTTTTTATTAAAATATATTATATTATATTTCTAAGAATAGACAACAAAATTGTATAAAATCAATCACTATATATGTAAAATCAAATTTAATAATTTATATATTTTTACGAGAAGGAAATATATACATTACCTTCATATCGAGATTTTTTAGTTGAGAAGTTTTTGAAATTTTGGTATGCAATAGTCTGAAGCGCACCTCTGGAGTGATACCTTTTCGACAATAAATACGTTCTTAATTTACTATCAATACGGATTCCACGTTTATTTGCAAAAGTTGTCACGCGCGGTTGAAGCCGTGGCTTCTCTCTCTCGATTGAGGAGCAAAATCGCGCGGCTGCTCTTCAAATACAAACCCCGTTAACCCCTCCATTGCGATAAACGCCATGGGGATGAATGCAAGTCTGAAGAACGCATGACCGCAAATGCGCGGGCGACGATATTTCATATCTCAAAATACTGTCCTTTACCAAGGATGCATTTAAACTTCGTAGGTGACTTTTTTAACTTATCCTTCCGAGGGAAAAATCTTCCTTTTTGATTGTTGAATTATGTTAGGAATACACACAAAAATTTTGCACAGAAACACAGTTAAAAACTACAGAAAAAGAAAGATAAAATATGTAGTATTAATATATAATAATGGTTATTTCTTAATTATCAAAATATGATAATTTTTAAAATATGAAAACTCTCTCTCTCTCTCTCTCTCTCTCTCTCTCTCTCTCTTTCTCTTTCTCTCATTTTCTCTTTAAGAAAAAATATATGTAACTAAATTAAATTTTTATTTTGATTTTCTAATGCATGTAATCATTAAATAATTAGCTGCATCTAATTGTAAGCTATCTTATTCTTTTCTAAGAGATAGAGAAAAAAAGAAAGGGAAAAAAAGTATTTTTTCTGTAGAAAAATATGTAAATTCTGATATTTATCGGAAAATATTAAATTATTTTTCATTTTTCTTGTTAGAAGATATATTTGCATAACTCTCTTAGTTCATAATTTTCGCTATATATAGATTATAACTATGACTTCGTGACTATTCACGGAATATGCATCTTATGCAATTCCTTAGACAGATCCAATACATGTTGCTCCTTAAGATTCACGGATCATAAATTGTCATAGGTCACATGAAATTTCAACGGAAATTTCAATAATATATTGGCATCCTACTATTTTACTGTGTATTGTCTATGAAGGAATTTTTGTTCTCGCACTTCGTTTTGATATTATATAATTGCAGATCATAAAACAATTTAATACACGGCATCTAAATCTGTTGTAATACAATAACGATTGATAAATTTTTTTTTCATATAGCGCATACTCTATAGAAATTGGATTATATATTGAAAGAATGTACAAAATAAAAATCGATGTATGTATTGTACAAATAAATTGTTGAGAGTACATAACATGCGTCAGTATAAATATAACGTATTAATTATTTCGAAATATAATTTAATTTGGAACGTTATTTCAAAATATTACGTTTTTAAACTTTATTACTATACCATGTTGAAATATCATTTTTCTTGAATTTGTTTCCTATTTTTTTATTTAATCAATTTTAATCTCAATCGCATTTCTATTTTTAATTTATTTTTCACGGTCAACGTTTTATTAAGCGTAAATACTTAATATAAAATATATAATATATTTGTTCTAATTGAATTAAATATCAAATTTTTTGACCAATTTAGAATCAATACATTTTAAAAAATTTGAAATATTAATAGATTTGAATTGAGCATTTAGAAGAAAGCATTTTTCACATGAAATTTTACACACATGAGCAAATAACAAAATCTTATTTTTCATTTACATATTCAAGTGAACACATTGCATTAATACAATTTTAATTTTATATGTAATTACGAAAATACTTAATGTGTTGTGAGAAAATGCTTAATGAATTGTGAAAAAATTGCATTACAAATAACGACTTCCTTTACAGCATTACAAATAACGACTTCCTTTAAAGCAAAAACATTTCGTTCACAAAAATTCACTCAAAATTATCAAAGAGATTATTAAAATTTAAAGCGGTTGAAATGAGGTTTATACGCATCATGTATGCGTATAAACAACATTATAAATAAAGTCACTCTTTCATACACGAAAAATTAACGCTAAAGTGAAATATTAGTCTACGAATTTTTAAAATTGAATCAACTCTGTCCACGCTGTACCAACATTACTGCAACATACATAATATACACTACATCATAAACAAAAATGGTTACATAGAGATTTCGTTACATAAATTTTATAAATAGCATTTTACAAATAATTATATTTTAATAGTTGTATATATATAATATAATTACATATATATTTTACACACACATATAAATATATATTTCTGTATGATATATTGATTTGTATATTTTTTAGATTTCTAGATAATTAGATGCAAATTAAAAATAAAAAAAAAGCATATTTAATATCTCAATTTTCATAAGCAAAATAATAAACGTTTTACTTGAATCTTGTATGAACGCTGAATCATCAATGTAAATGCATTATTAATGTATACTTCCTTCTAACGTTTCATATTATAGTTTATCGAATATTTGATAACAATAAATAAAAACTTGGACAAATAAAAACTATGCAAAATAGATCAAAAGTGAAATAATCGGAACTGAGGATTAATGTAGATTAAATCGATGCCAGGAAGCAAAGTCAGTCTAACTATAACAAGTCGACCGGGTAAGAGTCCTCATGTAAAAATCATAGAAAAAACAGTCAAGCTTAAGTACTTACATCGTTCCCACATCAGAGCCCGCTGAGTTACGATTAGATCGTTCAACCTAGTTCGCCAGTGGTTGTCCATTATTTCTTATTTTTCTTTCGCTAAAATTTTCGATTACATACTTATCTGTCGCGACGATAAATATTCGAAAACTGCAAAAGAGTTTAAGAACAAGTTAAATTTCATAACTGTCTGACAATATTATTCATTTCGCAATCACATATCTATAATATATTTACATATTCATAAATTATTTTAAAAAGAATTTCTCTTAATACTTAATTATAAATTTTTGAAAGATACATATGTATATATACATATATATATATATATATATATATATATATATATATCTTTCAAAAATGTATAATTAAGTATTAAAAGAAATTCTTCTTTATGTAAATATATATATATATATATATATATATATATATATATTTACATAAAGAAGAATTTCTTTTAATACTTGCGTTAACTTTAGTGCTAATAGCATTTATATCTATCATAAATTAAACATCCTTATTTATTAAACAACTATATAATCAACTATTATAATCAACTATATAATTTATATATATATATATATATATATATATATATATATATAATTATATAGTTATACAGTTGATATAATTAAATAATGTGAAAAACTATTGCTTTATTGAAATAAATAACGATGTTTAATTTATGATAGATATAAATGCTGTTAGCACTAAAGTTAACGCAAGACAGTAAATCAGTACTGCTCCTTGCATTTACTGGATAATAGAGATCATACTTATGAATAAGAGATGTATCGCTTATGCAAAATATAGAATATATAACTATCTCACATAAAAGAGAAGATAAATACACACTTATAACAGACTACGTTATATGTAAATACTCATAAGACGATTCTCAAGCATTTACTAAGCTATAACTGAAATAAATATCGAATTCAAAATAGAGTGCAATTTTAATAAAGATATATATATATATATATATATATATATATATATATATATATATATAATATTAATCTCTTAAATTTGAAATATAAAAGTTTTTATTTCTCAAAAAATTAATTTTATCCGACATTAGAGAATTAAAAGAGAAATAAAATGAATATAAACAGTATGATAATATAACAGTATGATAAAATAGCAAAGATTTAAAAACAATTTTTCTAATTTCGATAATTGAAAATTTATAATTTCATAAAAAAATGGATTGCTAAATGGACTGCTAATTTTTGTTAAAGATATTTTTATGTAAAATAAAATCTGAAAAACAGCCTATAATTACATCATCAATATAACTAAAAGCTCTCTCCTCCTATCATCTATAAAAATCCATATCAATGTCTCGATAGGAAACCATTTATAATATTATATGACAAAATCTTGCATGAAATTTGTTGATTGCAATTATATGAATATATTTTTAAAAATAAATGTAAAATAGATGTAAAGATATTGATCTTTTAAAATATTAATAACTGTTTGCAATTAATTTCGAAATAGTATTTCAATAAAATAATAATAATATGGTGAATCATTTGTTGCAATTATGGAGAAATTTTTTCTCAAGTCATGATGTCATTATTGTAAAATGTTTTCACAATTTTCCTATCGGGGAATTTTTTGAATTTTGTTATCAGTCCCTATTATACATTATGATATAATATATATAAATATCATTTAGAGAAATCACAATACGAATTGTTCTATGCATATATATAATTGTAAAAAAAAAATATATATGTATATATACATATCATTTTACAATTGTTTGTGAGTGAAAGTAACAATACAATATTAGCGACACAGTTTTCAAGTTCGCCCGGATAGCTCAGTCGGTAGAGCATCAGACTTTTAATCTGAGGGTCCAGGGTTCGAGTCCCTGTTCGGGCGATTTATTTTTTGTGATAAATAATATTTAATGATATATCGTTTACATAAGTGTACACACACACGCGCACACACACACATACATATATATATATATATATATATTTTTTTTTTATATATTTTCTCCTTCTGCAATATATCTTTAAATTTTTCATGTATAGAGTTTTAAAAATTAATCATTATGAATGAAAAATAGTGCAAGTTAAAGTTAGTAAAATAGTAATAGTTAAAGTTTGTTTTCTTTAACCTAATCTATCATAACATTTCTAAAAATACAGTTAATACTGTATTTTCTCATCTATTCAATACAATAGCAAAAAAAATTGAAAAATTTTAAAAAATTATATACACAAATAACCTAAGAGATATATAAACTAATACATAAAATCCGAATAAGTATTATTTCTTACATAAAATCTTCATTTATCTCTTTAAACGCATAAAAAATTATATAAAAAATATATTTTGTAAAAATGTGTAGGTAGATTTTATTCGAAGCGTTGTTTTATAATTATATATTATATTTCAAACATTTTGTATAATATATTTCACATATATAACAATATAAAATAATATTTCATATAAAACAATGCTTATTTCATTGTTACAAAATATGAATATTGAGCAATTTATCTTGAAGATGTAAACTATTTCTTTGATTATAACTATAAAAATAATTACAATGTTATACGATGGTAAAAAAAACTATCACAAAATTATGTCTTTATGTAAAATAGACATATAAAAACAGGGATATAAACAAACAAGAATATAAAAAAGTGACAATGCAACTAAAATAATACATATGGTAAAAAATGAAAATTAATATTCCAAAGAAAAGGTGCGAAAGATTTTTGCTGATAATATATATAAGATTCACTGTGTAGACAAAATATTATTGCTCAAAGGTGATTTGAAGAAAATATAATTTGCATAGTAATATATATTAAATCTTAGGGAAGTTTGAACTTTGTTCCTTCACGCTACCATCTGGCATACCAAAGAAAGCTTTCTCAGCCATATTTATAAATAGACCAGTTTCTATAACTCCAGGTATCAGAGATATTTCTTGATTAACTTTAACCCAATTAGTTATATCTTGTGGAAAATGCCAGTCCAAGAGAAAATTACCATTATCTGTTATTACCGGGCCCTGTAAATAAAATATAAATTATATATATATTATTTATCTACATATTATTGTTGATTTAATAATTTCAATAATAAAAACATATACTTACAACTTTTGCCAGAGCCATTCTAATTTTTGCAGATCCTCCATATATTCTTTCAATTCTATCTTGAATCGGCACATATGCCATAGGAATTACTTCAATAGGAATTCCTTTTTTATATTGCTCGCCAAGTTTTTGTGAGTTTTTTCTAAAATGTAAAATATATAAAGAAATTATATTATTACATAATTTGTGAATATAATATTGAAATAAAGATCGTGCTTACGTATAATCTGCTATGACAACAAACTGTTGCGCACAGGAAGCTACAATTTTTTCTTGTAATAAACATCCTCCACCACCTTTAATGAGATTCAATTCAGCATCAACTTCATCTGCCCCATCGATTGTACAGTCCAGCTGTAACCATATTGCAATCATATTTAAAAATATATATAATAAAAAATATGAATAGGAAAAATATTTCAGAATTACCTTTGGATGAGTTTCTAAATCGCCTAAAGTTAGATGATTATCTAATATAAGTTGACGAGCTTGAAATGATGTAGGAACACAGACTACATTGAGTCCTTCTTCCTTGACACGTTCAGCTAAAATCAAAATTGTTATGTGCGTATTTATTATATATATAAAATGATATATTTATAAAATTTTTAAAATGTAACAAAGTTATATTTTATTCAATACAAAGAATAAAGTATTATTACAAATTTTATAAAAAACTGAATCTAACACATAGAACGTTATATGATATGTAATAAGAATAAAAAAATATGCTGACGCTATTGATGAAAAGGTCAAATGTTAATTTAGCGTCATATGTTTTTCAATAAAACAATCCAGAGAATAATGCATAAAATATACTGTAATATCAGAGTTTAAATTTTAAAATTAAATTAAAAGTAGGAAAATAATCTTTTACCACAGCTATCAACACCAACGTATCGCATTGTACATTGCATTCATTGAATCATTTATTTTAGAAATGGCTTTATACATTTATATACATAAATCAAGAAATAGATTTTCCCTGTACACATGTTTTTTTATAAAGACATATTGATGCATAGAAAATTTAATATATAAATAGTAATGGAATCTTTTTATATGGTTTTATTGATATGTACAATGTACAATGTACATTAAATGTTTACTTGCAGAAATAAGAATGTTAGATTAATATTAAAATGATAACTAATTAATTGATAACTAATTAAATATCGTAATGTTCAAAATATATCATTCTGAAATAAAATAATTTTTAAATAATTATATGATAAAAGAAACGTCATCATTACCAAGTCTTTGAATAGCATAAATCACAGTGGATCCACTACCGATTCCAATCACAGTGTTATTCTGAAAAACAATTCACTGGAATATTAATATAACCTCATAACTGATTAATTATATACAATCTTTTTAATTAAATCAGTTTACCTGGACATATTCGTTCACGGCTTTATGAGCCGCAATTTTCTTGGCACTTTCGAGCGGACCCATCTTTAATAAACTTTTCGGAGCACCGTGCCATAATCTGGCGGCTATTTGAACAGGCGAACAGACCATGAAAACTGATGTGAATACCAAGTTATCTCTATCATCTCATATGTATATACAATAATAATGAATAATTATAGAAGTATCATATTCCTTACATATTATACATATGTTATGAGTACATATGTTATGAGAGATTCGATTAGAAATCGATTTTTCATAGCATCGAGAAAACTCGTTCATTAAAAAAATCGATTTTTTTTAAGTCTGTCTTGCATTTATATTCACGAATGGATTCTTTTAAATTTTCTCTCTCTCTCTCTCTCTAGATATTGATTATCTTGGAATTTAAATGAACCCAATACAAATCGCGTTCCATGAATATTACATTCTTACATATGATTTAATAATTACGAAGAAAGATACTGCAATTTTATTACACACAATTTTTAATTGTTACGATAGAAAAAATTTATAAACTAATATTTTTTTAGTAAAAATAAATAAATATATCTCTTGCAATATTTGTTTTATTTTTCGTATTGTTGATTCCTATAGCAATATTATATAGTTTCAATCTAATATATTCACCCCTAAATCCTTCAAATAAATCAAATAAAAATCTTGATTTCTCGATACACTTCATAAGTTATTTGATGCATATCTAATATAGGAAAAAAGAGCCAGCACAAACATATATATGTTTTGATTGAATTTCCATTATATTCAGCATCAGAGGCATGTAACACAAAATACAACCAAACACAATTTACACATTTCAATAATTATTATATAAGACTTTATACTTGAATTCTCTCTCTTTCTCGCTATTAGTAATTAGCAGTAATATTTATCAACACTTTCCGTTTTACTGTATCTATCACGCACAAGATTTCGATTATCAATGCACCCTCTTTCTCTTCTTTTATTTGTTCATTCGCGCTTTCACTTTCGTTCATTGCAATCATGTATTCATACATATTCGTATAACATCGTCTTAAAAGTCAGGTAAAAATCCATGTAGATTTTTCCCATGCTAATTCGTGCAATTATGTTACTCCATCATAGAGAAAAATTCTTAGCACATCGCTTAGACATATCAGAACTCCGAGATCTATTCCTGTGATCGAGATTTTAGAAAAAGAAATCTCATAAATTAAATATTCAAGATGTTCAATATTTAACTGATGGTTTACTAACTTGACTGTTTGAATGTTTTTGTCACTTCAATTTAATCAAACAATTAATTTAATTTTTATTTGATCAAATAATTAAATCCTTTTTTCGTTTCTAAAAAACGATCAATTAATTGATGTCTATATAAAAATTAAATTACTGAAAGAAAAATTTTATTTAAAAAAATCATTAATCAAGAATTGAACCATTTATGCTGGCAAATTGGACTGCATTAAAGTGATCCGATGTAAGTGTAACAATCAACTTTAATTAATGCTATATATTGCATAAGTATTTTATATTATGCAACTACATCGCCTAAAAAATTACTTACAAATGAAAGGAACACATATGTCTTCCATAATCATTTTCTTCAGCTCTCGCATAAAATCTATACATAAAATAATTTTTTTATAAATTTTGGCTATTTATCTTTTAAAACGAATAGACTTTAACATGATAGCAGATAAAAACAATCCTTTTAAACATTTCCTTCCATGATGTAAATAGAGATATAAAGCTATTAAGTATTTGTGTTATAAAATTAATCCACAAGTAAATAACACAAGAGTCTCCTGTTATTTTTCTTATCAGTTCGACTGCGCATATATAAGATATCTGTCAAAATGTGACAATACAACTGTATTTACCAAAGTTATTTATACATAATTGATATTTTTTTAATCAGAGTTTTCAATTAAAATATCTATCAAAAAAATATCAATTTTGTTGCCAATTTGATAGATATCTCATATGAGGCATCTCATTAAAGAAATAAACGTATTTTTCTATTCGCATATTTTTATATGTTTCTTTCCTGTTTTACAGGAAAAAAATAGAATTTTTCCAGTCAAGAGAACTTCGTTATTTTCTTTTCTATCGCATTCGTCTGTCCTACTTAGCGCATGATTCTTCCAAGAAGCAATACAATAACAAAATTACGTTCAGAATTATTTTTTATAGAGAGTTTAGATCGCATTAGGTAACTATAATCAGCACATTTTCCTTTCTATTTTTATACATCTATTACATGCGGCTTTTCTTTAACTTATTTGATTCTTCTTTCATTATCGTATACATCACTGGCCTTTAATTAAAAATCGAAACCGATATAATTTTACAGAGTTCAAATTTTTAATATAATCAAAACGAAAATATTTAATACTCTTCTTGCAAACCGTTTCTTTGTTTCTTTATCTAAACAAGAATGGTTTCGCTTTATATAAACAAAAATAATGCTAAGTTAATATAACGGATCAATTTGATGGTTTACAATGATAGATTGAAGCATTATATTATTCTCAAATTCTATATACATTATTCCTATTCGATATTTCGTATAGACATAATCTTTATTAATTAAATAAAATTATATAAAGACGAGATTTTTATATTAATCTCGTCTTAAAAGCAATAAACTGAAGTATATAAAGAAGGTAACTGCGGAGATATTTTTCTCATTCCACATTAATGAAAACATATTGCGTTATCGTAAAGTAAATATAAACAAATTAAGCAACGAAAAGGATATACATAAAAACTGTTTTCACATTTGTCTTATTTATATATTAATTATTGAAAGCGTGTATATCTCGCTTAATCTCCATTTGCACATATCGATAACGCAATATTACAACGATATTCTCTTTGTTGTAAAAGAATTAATAATTATCTAATATATTACAATCAGGCACCTTCATATTGGGCCGCAAATTTAGATACATAAGCCTTAAGATTATTAGATGAATAATTATAATATTATTATAACGTTAAATAAAAGAAACATATTAATAAAAATGTATAATTATATTAATAAATCAGAAATTTAATTCAATTTTTAATATTCGCTCTTTAAACTCTCTACTTTCTTATTTTTTTCTTGAATTCTATCATATAACTTTTATTATCTACACATATAACTGCATTGTTATTTCAAATTACTTCGACACATACGCAAACATAATTACTTATGTTCATCAACGATATCATATAAATTTTTCTGATGTGTACATATGTTTCTATAAATACGATTAATTGTTAAATTAATCAAATTTACGATACATACATACATACATATATATATGTATAAAATTCAGTTATATGGTAGACATGTTACATAAAATATAGTAAATACAAATCAAATTTTTATAAGAGTTGATTTTATTTAACAAAAAGGAAAATGAGGAAATAAAATATTTTACACATATTTTTAGGAATTGCAACGATGTTAATACGATTCTGTTCTATTCTGTATGTATATTTGTTAATATATTTCCAAAATGCTTATTTGCATAAATCCTAAAGTTTTTCTTATATAGTTTAAAATCATGAATCTTGATTATTGCATAAATAACTGGGAAGATACTGAAATAGCCTTTTAAAATCTCCTTTTTCAAGCATTATTTCATGTAATATATACATATTGTGTTGTGAATAATAATAATGAAGATATTTTGAATAAAAAGATAAAATTTAACAATCCGATTAATGATGCAGAAATAAGGAGAACATAATTTCTCGAATACAAATAAAATGTGCAATGTTTTACGTTTGAACTTAATTAAATAAAAAAACGCAATTTCTAATCAAATAAATGGAAATAGATAAAAAGTGAGAAAAATAAAAAATTAAACTTATATTAATTTGGAAGCTTTTGAATACAGGCTCCTGCAGTTTATGAATCGTCATAGTATATTCTATTTTAATAAATAATATTGATTCGATCAGAATATATAATCATGCAATAAATCTACTCACAATATCCGCTATTTGATAATTTTTTTACGTATGCATATGTTTTATTAAGATTAGCTCAGTACAGTATTAACTTCATTGGAGCATCATGCGCAAGATAGTCGCAATGCAGACACATCCATTTTTCAGAGAGGATAGGTCGATCCCTCTCATTAATTTCTCAGGCATCCTGCATTAAGGCAATTCAGTGTATCCCGTTTAATTGTTTCTATTTCTTCGTAAACTGCAACTAATTACACAGCATAAAGTACAGGATTGTGAATAGTTATTCGAAAAAACACTCGTTTAAAGTGTACACATGTCGAATATAGATAAAGAGATAAGCAAAACATCCAGGAAGATTAGAATACATCAAAGAAACGGCAATTAAAAGTTAAACACGCGTTCCTTGCATACACAATTTGTCCTAATTTCTTTAATTTTTAGTTTCCTCGATATCTCGCGCACAGAAAATAAGATGACCAAGCTCTGAATTTCATACTATCATAATACAGATTCACACACTAAATATTTTAACTCTTTTTTTTTTTTACGGATCTCTACACGATGCGTGTATATATATAATTTTTGCACATTTTTTTTTATAAAATGTTACACGCTTTGCAGAACCACCTCATCTTGCTGATACACGCTCACACGGGATAATATAGGCGAAAGATAATTTGAATTGACAAAATTAATGGCAGGACAGAAAATTATGTATGCGACAATGACCATGCAAGAAAAAGGGCAAAAAGAGATTATAAAGCAATACAAATTTAAGAAAAAACAAATAATACTTATGTAATATACAAATATTTCGAAATCTACTCTGTAAAAATTTTACAAATGCATCACATTGCATACTCTGATATAATGTTACCGATGTCTTCGGGTGTTGCAAAAAAAAAATAAAAGAAATACATTTTTATTAAAAATATTAAGTATGCTATTAAGAAAATTTAAAGAAAAATTTAAAGATTTTTTTCTATTACCGCGATTGATTCACAATAAAACAATTTACGTTATGCTTCTTAAACATGTGTTAGATATGTATCCCAAGTATAGCTTTAAGAGAAAACAGATTTTTTGAAAAATATTATACTACAATTATTTTTTTTTAATGCCTTAAAATGGAGTGATCAATTTTAAAAGAAACTTTATTCCACACTATGTCGAATTACGATGTACAATTATATAATTCACAATAATCCGAAAAACAATCTTTGACATATTTAATTAAATATTAATAAAACATTCAATACCAGTTATAAGCGCCAAAAGCTAAATCATTCTGAGAACCATTAATTTATAAAGTTGCCGTGTAAGATAATAATTTATGACAATTAAAAGTAATCTCTCTCCACTTTATGACATCATCTTCTTATGCCTTGTATAATTGCCAAGGGATGGTCCGCGCGCTAGTGCCAATTTACTAAATCAAATTTAATTTGACTAAACATCTGTTTAATTAAGATAGTCTAGTATATAAAATTTTGTCAATATATATATTTATCTACTTTTTTTTCTTTGCTTATTTGACATATACAAAGTGTTGCAATGAATAAATTTTATTTAAAACGAATTGAAAAATAATAGAAGTTTATATAAGCTACAAATAATAATTATAGACTATAAATAATTTTTTTTATATATTATACCAATGATTTATTGATTGTAAAGCATACAGAAGAGTCTCTCTCTATTATAACGAGGTTTAAATCTATGTAGTCATTTGAAAAATATGCAGTAACATTGTTCTGCATTGTTATACCATTGGTGACAGTTCATTTATTCATCTCTACAATAGTTTTGTGTGTATTATTTTCCACTATTAGTGCGCCGGAAAAGTTATCTCAAGATTAGTTTTTAACAATTTAAAAGCATTAATATATTATTACGGACCAACCCAGGCGTTCGTGTATTTTTATTTGAAAAAGAGAACGCATATCGTGTTTTAAAGTACATAGCACATTAGCAGTCGATTGTTCGATAGAATTTATACTGCGTATATAAATTAATAAAGTTTTTAGCATTTTATATGTATTGTAACAGCAAATATGTATAATGTACACAATGTAATTTTAAAAAATTTCATTGTACATATTCGTCTAGATTTGCCAGATCACAATACAGTATATTCTCGTGTATTTATCCATATCCTTTGATACTTTGATAACTGAATAGTGAACATGTTAATGTCGCTGTGTTCTTAAGATCTTTCTTTTTATAGCACGTTTATTCGTCAACATCTGCTCTCCAGCGGGAATAAGAGACAACGCCATAGTAGAATGTCAGTGTGGAAGAACATGGCAAGATTCGTTCGAAGAAGAATAGTACCTGCGAACGAACTTTATATATTCCGAGAATGACTGCAATAAGTGAGTTATGTACATTATTATTCCACAGATATGCCACAGTGGCCAGCGCAAATCAGCTCTTGCCCTTATTCCATGTCACATAACAGCAAAGATGGCGAGATTAAAGTTCGGGAAAATAGTAATAATAGTAGGGCACAAGAGGATGAGTAAGAAGAGAAGGAGGAGGAAAAGGAGAAAGAAGGGAGGAGAGGGTGTTTCGAATAATTATTAATATATATTATAATAATAACAATAATGATGAGGTGTTCTAAACAGTGCTAGGACTAGTGCTAGAGGGTCCTGTGTGAGGAATCAGGATGGGTGGATACACGGGCTAAGGAGGGGTTAGTGTGGGGGTGGTGGCTCCGTAGACTGATTTCTTCCATCTACAGCTCTAACCGGCTTCCTACGCGAAGAAGCTACTCCGCCTCTGACATAAGCGGGCGCCGGAGCTGCTATCGGTTCCCTGATAGTTCCAGTACCAGTATTCCTAATTGGTGGCGGCAGTGGTTGCTGCAGTACCTACATTACACGAAATTCTATAAGAACTCGACGTTACTATTGCATTATGATTTTCTATTATGTATTAGTTATTTTGTTTCGACATACTACATCTGGAACTAGATATAACATGCCACTGAAGTAAGAGGAACGTTCCACGGCCACCATTATGCATACTGAGAGCTAAATTTAGATATGATAACTGAGAGATGAAGTTGTATGGGAAAGATAAATATAGCTACATCGAGTTCCAAATATATCATATATATTACTTTCATCTTTCATACATTTTTTAATAAATTAAAACAGTGAATATTTTAAACTGTACATATATTAAATGCCAGAAAAATGGATGCTTACCAATGGCTGAGGTAACACACTATGCATCAATGTTTGAACTATAGGTGGATTTTGCGTTGCAATGTTATTAGGATTTGGAGGTAAGCCCTGATTTTGCAGACCTGAGCCCATGCTACCAGTTGTTGTAGCAGCAGCAGCAGCCTGCAGAATATGTGATTCTTTTTGCATAGATGTCATGTGTTTACTTGTAGCTTGTTCCCTCTTTGCTTCCTGAACTAAACTCAATTTCTTTGTGGGAACGATGGAAGTGTTGGCGTTTGGTGTTTCGGGGCTGGTCGTGGCAGTAGTCGCATTTGACGCTGGCGTTTGAACGATACATTGCTGTTGCATCAATTCTGACAATGTTTGGGAAAGCGTTGCGACGATAAGTTCGCGTGCAAAAAGACTCCTATTTGCACTCTCGCGTTCAATACTTTGCAGTTGTGAATCAGACAGCGTAGTCGTAATGCATCTACACAAATACGAAAAAGGAAAATCATGTTTCTAAAATATAACAATAACTATGTTTCAGTTATTTATATTTACAACGCTTCTTTAAACATATATATTTATTTCTTTATATCAGTAAATATTTATATCAGTATATATTTAATTTTACATATACATACATACATAATGAATATATAATCATAATGTGTTTTTATATAATGCACATCAGAGCAATATTATTAACAATAGATTTTTATAATTTTTAAAATTGATAGAAAGAAATAAGTAATATTTTAAATCATTATAATGTCTCGTATATTAAATCTTTTTCATTTTTTTATTACAATAAAAACTAGACTAAACACTATTTTTGTATATCTATTTTAAATATTAAATTTTAAAAATATTAAAATATCTTGATAATTATATATATTTAATATCTTGATATTAAAATATCTTGATAACTTCCCAATTAAAATTTTGTGAAAATAAAATGCACAAATTAAGTATTTGTTTACATATTAGTACATATATTAAGTACCATATTTATTAGTATTAGTAAGAATAGTGAGACATTATATTTTATAATAACCTCTGTGTATGTGTGTGTGTTTGTATGCGCGTGCGTATATGTAGAAAGAGAAATGTAAAACATACCTGGGTAACAGGAACATAATGTTCTGTGAGTTAATAGAAGGTATACCAGGTGGATTGGTTACATTAGTTGCATTATTGTTACTACTGGCATTATTTGATGCTCCTATAGCAGTAGAATGACCACCGCTCCCACCACTAGCACCGCCGCTGCCACCGCTCACAGAACCGATCACTTGTGTCTGTCTCCTAGGTAATCGCTCGAGTTGTTGTCTAGCAGCCTAGAAAAAAAGTAATATTTTATTTAATCTATATTGTCTAATTTGTAAAAATTGTTAATTCTTTCACTATAAACAACATTGGATAAAAAGATGATTCTCATATATTGCTTCATTTTTTACATAAAAAAAGATTTCTTACAATATGAATAATTTTTTGTATATCTATTTTAAATATTCAATTTTAAAAATATTAAAATAATCTATATATCTTGATAACTATATATATATATATATATATTTAATATCTTGATATTAAAATATCTAAAATTCAAATTAATATTTTGTGAAAATAAAATGCTAATTTTTATTATTTTAGATAATTCAAATATAAATAAAAATTAATAAAAAAGAATTATTTGTAGAATACAACATTTAATATATCTAAATATTTATTAACAACATAAAATAACGCATATTAATCATCAATATCATATTGGCATAAGAGATTGTTGAAAATTATTAAATTTACTCAAAATTATTAAATTTAGTCAATGTATAAATTATTAAATTAACTCACTATATATATTTCATTTATCATTCTCAAATTATTTTGCAATTTTATTTAAAATTAATATAACTTGTATTTCTTCATTTATTGTTATTTCTCATTGTAGTTTCTCATGTTTTTTATCTTTATTTTTTTATCTTTATTTGTCCTTCTATAACATTTTCCTTATTTATAAATATCTACTTTTATATTTCTGAAAACAGTAGTCAATGAAAATAACATCATATCAAAACATGGAAAAATTTCAACAAAATATATACAAGAGAATAACCTCTATATATTTCGAATACGATTGCGAGAGCATTTTCAAAATTACTTTTTATCGCGGTTGATTTAATACTTTATAATTTCTATTGTTTTCCGTTTACGTTTAACGTGTTTTCGCTTTGTGATAAGCACTTGTAACTATTACTGCCACAGTTCTGAGTCATAATATATTTTAGTATCTGAACAGGATACATTCTATTATGAATTAATACTCAATTATTTAATCTGAAAACGCTTAACTTTAGAATACATAATGCTGATTTTATCTGTTTTAATTAAAATGATAAAAAATGGCATATTAATTCTTGTTGGGATAAAAATAAATTTGTTTTTATACCCGGACTTGTTGTCGTTCTAATTGCAATTGCATTTGTAATTGCTGTAGTTGCGAAGGTGCTGATGAGCTTTGTCCACTTCCGCCTCCGCTTCTACGTACTCCCGATAATTGAGACAGCAATTCCGCAATTGGATCTATACCTTCTCGATTACTTGGGCTCAATCCTCCGGATGAACTGAAATGCATGTTGGACCTGCAGGTCCAATGATAGTCTAATGAACATTATCTAAGATGAAGTGATGATAAAATGATATAGTAAAAACTATTTGTTGGCAATTATATAACAGTTTAAATTCTCATTGAAGAAAAAATTATTATAATATTAAAAATTATTAAAATTTATCATATTTGCATCTTTAAACAATATATATACAATATTTAAAGAACTGAGATATAATTTTATATAAAAATTCGTAAAGAATATCTAATAATTATTATAAAATTTAAAATGCAAGAAAGTTGACAAATAATAATCATAATAATCACATTCTACAATGATAAACAGTAGTCAGAATAAGTTTATCTTAACTTATAGTATTATATTATATAATACTCTTTTGATAAAAATATTCGATAAATATAATATAATGAACATACCGACAAATGAATTATTTAAATAAAGGACGAATGTTATTACATACCGACGCGCACGTGGGGCTCCAACAGCTCTAGATGGATGAGGTATCCGTCTAACTCCATGCCTGCTTGCAGAGGGTTCATCTAGGAAAGAGATCAGGTCCCTTGGTCCGCTACGATGCTCTAGTGTCAAGTGGCCAGCAAAATCATCAGTTACATGATTAGGATCTCCACCTGGCACAGCTGCACATACTGGACAAACCTATAATAAAAATACAATATTTTAATATAAAATAAGTTATTGTATTTGTTTATATGAACATTATATAATATTATAATATCCATATAATATAAATATATCATTTTTATTTAAAAATATGAAAACATGTATACATACTTTAAATAAAGATATATACATACAACTTCAAACGAAGTATCAGGATGTTCAGCAGCAACATGCTCTTGCAAGGTAGCTTCAGTTAAACCCATTTTTGCACAATAAGGACAAGTTAAAGATTGAGGCTGCTCTACACTTACTCCTTCGCCACCATAGTATAATTCTATTCAAAAATCATTTAAAAATGAATTAAGAAATATTTAATATAAAATAATTTAATTGCAATCCCCTTTTTTTCTATAAATTATTTGAAAAATTTGTGGGAACAAAAATACATGTTTTTCTTTGTGAAATTTGATAAAAAATAAAATTTATAAATTTCCATATTATTGAATTTAGTAAAAATAATTAAATAAATAAAATTTTTTTAAATTCTACTATTAAAAAAACTTTATTTATCAAAATATGTCAATTTCTCATTATTTATAACCAAATGTATCAATTAACATTTAATATATTGAAATAATGTTTCTTTACTAGTGTATGTGTTTATAGTTAAAAAATGTAATACTTGTAAAGTGCTTACTATCGATAAATTAAATATTATATTTTAAATTTGATAAGAGGGCCTTACCATAGTCAGCTCTAGTAAGTATGCACTGCATAGGATGATCTGTGAGGTGGCGTGTGGTACTGGCACCTCCCTCATAACAGCTGGCACATAGATCATAATCGTAGCATACAAGGCACTTGTATCTACGACCCCGAAAATTTCCCTTCAAGCAGGAATCACAGCTTACCCCTAAAATATTATTATTAAATAAATATAAAAATATAAAAATACTGCATACAATATATTACATATCACATATGTTCAGATAAAGTTCCATTAATTTTTAAATATTGTTTTAATTATTCCTTTTATTTGTTATTATACATATCCAATTTCTTTTTTATTATCTATTTTATAAATTTATTATTATAAAAATTTTTATTATTATTTATTATTTACTATAAAAAGTTTTATTATTATTTTCCATGATAAATAATAATAAATCAAAAATATAGGAGATAAAATTTAATAAAATAAAGAAATAGTATATAAAGACATATATATATATATATACATATATATATATATATATATATATATATATATAGACATATAAAGAAATTTGTTAATTTAATATTTCACATTACTTAATGAAAGATTTTAGTACAAATAACCAAACTTTTTTTTTTAAATCTGTGTTAAAAAGTATAGAATATTAGAATTTCTCTAATATTAAATATTATAAAACCTAATGTATTACAATGTAATATTCAGAAATTGCCATACTGTTTTATTATTAATATATAACATATTTATTAATACTGCAGCATTGAACACAGTGTGTATATAATAAATAATAATATATAATTATATATATATATATATATATATATATATATATACATATATATAATTTTTAATTGTTTATGGAAAAGGCAGAATATATATAACAATACATATAAATAAAAAAGGAAAAGATCTAATTAAGAAAAAGTTATAATAATATTTGTGCATATTAATCAATAAAATTATTTATAAATAATATCTTGACACAGAAGAAAATATTTTGTGAATATTTTTATAACTTTTAGATAATTGAATATATATATATATATATATGTGTGTGTGTGTGTGTGTGTGTGTGTGTGTGTGTGTGTATTATTATTAAAAAAAAATTATATTCAAGTTTGCACTAATCATATGAAGAACTTGAGAGCTCTTTTAACTTGTCAATAAAGAATTAAAAGTCAGATGACTATAAAACTAAAAATAGCAATTTGTAGCAAGCGAGTCATAGTCTTGCAACAATGGAAAACAAGATTTGAGATATTATATATATGCCATGCTTGATTATAGCAAATGCACATTTGAGAATAACTAATTTATATTTTATAGAATGGTACAATAATTGTCACATATATCTATTCACAGTAGCAACTAAAAATCTATGTATATATGATAATTTATTAAAAAATGCTAAATAAAACTAATGATGTGTGATAAATGAGAATTCTCAAGTTCCTACTTCAATTTAATTTATCATCTTTATATTAGACACTATAATTATATAACAAATATAAGATATATATATATATATATATATATATATATATATATATATATATATTATACCTTGTAAGATTCGAGTCCTTACATTCTTTACAGTTTAAATTACATGGTTTAAATTATATTACATTATCTTTTCTCATATTACAAATACATATATATTTATAATACGAAAATATAGTTTCACTTATATTACAATCTCAAAGGCCAGAAACTTAAGAGCAATATGACTTGTACAGGAACATTATTTTTATGACACACATTAATCAGCAATGTTACGATCTCCAGAAAGTGGCAGACAAGGACTTCTCACAATGACATGATTTGCTACATGAAACTTTTATCAATCACTTGTCTAAGTAGTCTCAATACAAGGAAACTGTGAAAACATTGGAAAAGGCTTGCAATATGTTCTACAAGGGAAAGACTTCTCATCACCATCATCATCATGACAAGGGCTGTCTGAGAGAGGACTCAACCGAGGGGATAGGACGGTCTGACAGCCGATCAATGATCGAACGACAGGCCCGAACAGGTGGACATCGAACGTTGTCGCGAATTTTGCGAGATCATCCGGGAAAACGTCGCAAATTCGTTCGCAGAAATTGGTGTGATTTTCATTCGAGTGCTGCCATCTGGCCTCTGACATTAGGTCCGCTCGGCTACTCGGGAGCTCGTGGGACGTGTCCTATGCGTTAAGACGTCCCCGCGGCTCGACCGGGCACCGTCACCGGGTAGAGTCCGCGCGGACTCCCGGGGGAGCGTCCCCGGGACGTCCATTCACGCCCCTGACGTAGCCACGGCCGACGATATCCCGCGGGTCATCCCGCGGGTCGAGTCAGAGCGCAGCAACGTACGTACGTACCTTCATGTCGACTCATTTTCCGTTTAAAATCTCATATACGCCAAACTCCGCGAGCCCCTCGCGATCGTTCGCTCCGCGAGACGCGACTGCCCTGATTGTCGCTCCGCGTAACACTCGGCGTCGTTCGACTACGGCAGACACAGAGAAAACATCAATCGTCAAACAAAAAATTTCTCGTTAGAATATCCAGCGTAAAACCTAACCCAACTAGGGCTGACGAATGTGACGTCACGTCAGACCGACCTACCTACCTGTCACTTGCTCACGACGCGCGTCGCGCGCCGCCTACTGCGCCGATCGCCGCGCTCACCACCATTTTAGCGGGAAATACAAAATACATGAAATCATACATTTAAATGTGAAATATTTTAATATAATTAAATATAGTTAAATTAATGAAATATGATAGTGGATTAATTTGAAATATGTGTCATCCTCGTCTCGTTTTACTTCGGTGAAAAACAATTATATTTTTATAAAACTGCGATTTTAATTCCTAAAAGAAGAAAATTTGTAAGCCTCTATTGATATGTTCGAAAAGAATTTGATGATTGTTTTTTTGAAATAAAATAAAATTGCAATCAATCATGTACATACATATATACGAGATTGAAAAATATTCATGAAGTTTTTAAATTGTTACAAAACGATTTGTGATATTATCAATTATAAAATATTTATAAATTAGAAATTAATAAAATTAATTTACAATTATATTTTGACAATACAAAATCATATGTATATTATATTTCAATCGTAAAAATATTTAATTCGATTTTCATTTTTGATTTTTTTCATCTCGAGAGAAATCTGCTCTTGCAAAAAAAAATATTAAATTTGAAAGGCGATCTATGAAAAACGTATAGTTCATGGTAAGATCTGGCAATCTAGCACTCCTTCAACGACACTTTCCGACAGCTGCTCCCGCGCGCATTCGTATCATTCCGTCATCAATCGCGGAATCTCGGGATTGGATCTCGCGAAATCGTATCATTTATTGAACAATGGCCACGGTACTTGGACGTGTAATTGTGTATGGGGGTAAGGGTGCCCTCGGCTCGGCTTGCGTATCGCAATTTAAAACCCAGAATTGGGTGAGTGGTGAAATTCATGAATGTCATTACTCTCTCATATTAATCTTGGATTAATCGCATCGTTATCTTATCGGCAGTTTTATCACCACATATTGCATTCGTAAATTTCATGTTCGATATTCTATCAACAATATTTTTTACAAAAATAAAAATGTACATTATTAAATATAATCAATGTCAAATAATGAAATAAAAGTCTAATATTTATTATTCGATTTATTGATATAATTGCTGTGATATGTATGATGCATAAATGCACATTTTCATAGCTATTTTAATCTTGTCATTGAATTTATTGTAACAAAAAAAAGAAAAAAAGAAATAATTTTCATAATGTGTATGACTTTAATAATGTGATATTTATAAGTCAAAATGTTGAACAGCATAGTACTGCCATGATTTAAATATAATGAACTTTCCTTGTCAATTTTCTTGGTTTGATTAAGTTGTGACAATATTAGATATTTTATAATAATTTAAAGTTATGTGTAATATATAGCTAATCCTTTGTTAATTTAATACACATATATGTTTACATGCTGAAACAAATTTTATTATTATATTCAAATGTTATATTCATATGTATATTTATTTCTATCCTTCCTTAGAAACATATACATATAGGAGAATATGTAGGATAAAAACTGTGTATCAAGGTCATTTTATGTAATAATAGTCAAGAGAGACCTTTCACAACCACTCCTTCTAGATTGCTTATCTGTAATAAATATGCATTAGATAAATCAGATTTTATGCTAAAGCATAAATATTTATTACTATTATTTTATTATTTTATTTATAAAAATGTTGCTCCTCCCATAGAGATTGCTTATCTGGAGGTAACAAATATTTATTTAAATAAATCACAAAAACTGATATATCATTTAAATCATACATATTTTTTAAAATAAACCACATGTTATAAACCAGATATTTATTACATTATAATATTAATACATTTATAACTAATTATATTATTTATAAAAATGTCAATTGTATATCATTGTTTATAAAGTTATATGTTAAATATTAATACAAAATTTTTTTATAGAAGCAATATCATGTTTAAATGTGTATTTTATCGCATCTTGAATTATAATAATTAATTTTTCTCCTATGAATCAGATAATTAATAAAATTTTTTATACATTACATATTATATAATCACATTATTGTAAAAAAATATAATATTTTATAACACATGTGCTGTTATAATATTTCTTAAAATTAATTTTTAATATAATGTGTATTATATTATAATTTTAGTGGGTTGGCTGCATTGATACAAATCCAAATGAACAAGCTGATTTAAGTGTAATTGTAAATCCTGACAATGATTGGCTGCAGCAGGTAAGTTTTCATTATTTTCAATCTTTTTTTATTACAATATTAAAGTACATTATTAAACATTATTTTGTTATTGTTATCTTAGGAAACGAAAATTCTGGCCCAAATTGAAAATACTCTGAAAGATGAAAAAGTTGATGGTATTATTTGTGTAGCTGGAGGATGGGCTGGTGGCAATGCAGCACATAAAGATTTTGTAAAGAATAGTGATTTAATGTGGAAACAAAGTGTTTGGAGTTCCATTATAGCTGCTAGCATTGCATCTCGATATTTGAAGGAAGGAGGATTTCTTTCTTTAACTGGTGCAAAGGCAGCATTGGAAGAAACACCAGGTCTTTTCTTGAATGAATTAATATATATATTTAGTCATATATATATTTTTTTATACTTACTAAAAATCAATTTTATTCAATCAGGTATGATTGGCTATGGTATGGCAAAAGCAGCAGTTCATCAATTGACAAAATCTCTAGCGGCTAAAGATAGTGGTCTTCCTTCCAATAGTTTGGTAGCTTGTATACTACCTATTACTTTGGATACACCAATGAATAGAAAATGGATGCCAAAAGCTGATACAAGTACATGGACTCCACTTGATTTTGTGTCGAAGTAAGATAACATTTTCTCATCACAAATGTCTTGTATAATTTGAGATTTATAAATTTATCTTTATCTATATAGTTTGTTTTGGAAATGGTCTCAGAATCAAGATCGACCTACTAATGGTTCTCTCCTGCAGCTTATTACTAAGGACAATAAGACAGAACTAATTACAGCTTAAAAATATGGAACAGATAAAATTCGTGGGAACAAAAATCTCAAAGCATTTATGACAATATACATATATTTCATTTTTATTGTTGCATAAAGAAGGAATATGTTCAGAGACAAATCCTTCACCCATACAATCTTTATTTTTATATCAAGAATTAATATATGATTTCAGCATAATATATTTTTGTATATTAATGTATAGATAATTGATGTATAGATTGTTTAATTATTTTAAATAAGCAAATAATTTTTGTACATTAACATATACATCTCTATTATTAATATAATATGTATATTATATTGGATATTACAAAAGAATGGTTAATGCATTATATATTGTCTGTTTCATGTAAATTTACTATCCTATATACAAATATAATAGAGTATATGTAAGTGTAAATTTAATAGGGAATTAAACAGAGATATTACATATAATAAACAATTATCTTGATAGGAACACAATTTATAAATAAATTGTAAAATAATAGCACTATTATTATTACTTATGTTATATATAATATTCACTTATCTAGAATATGAAAATATATATTTAATTCAAGTTAATTATAATTAACTCAAATTTATTAAATTATAAATAGATAAGGAAATAAGAAAAAAAATTTGATATTTTAATTTTTCTTCAAAAACTATATTGATCTCTATAAAATCTAACTTTAAATAATTATTTTTTGAAAATCTTGTAAAATGTAATCATTATAAATTATATATTTTAAAAAATAATCTTTATACCATTAAAAATATACATATATTTTTTCTATCAGAGAGAAAAGGAAAAAAGCTAAGATATTTTAATTTTAAACATTTTAAATTAATCTGTATCCAATGTAATTAATACATTTGAAGAAGTTCAAATATCAGCCCGGATAGCTCAGTCGGTAGAGCATCAGACTTTTAATCTGAGGGTCCAGGGTTCGAGTCCCTGTTCGGGCGATTTTTTTTTTAATTTTTTTTAAATTAAAGATACTGCCTATTATTATATATGAATATATGCTTATTAAATCTCATATATTGTACGCACAAATTACATATGGGCTATTATACATATATACATTATAATACATAGTCTTCACAGATCTTTATTTGATACTTTTGTACAATATAGAGTTTATCATTTGCGACTGCGATAATGATGTCGGAATAATATGCGACTAGTTTTACAGATATACAAATCAATCAACATTTTATGAACATATACTAATGTCAAATAAGTTAAGTTTATGTTGCTTTGGATGGTGTGAACATATCATCAAACATTTTTTGTTCCGCTGAAAAAAAAATAAGATTCATGTTTATAACATAACATATTTATATTCATAACATACTTATAATATAATTATTTATGTTATAAATTATGTTTATAAGATATTTATATAGTACAATGTTTGATACAAGTTATTTGGACAATTTATCTTCTAAAATCAGACATTTTTTAAATCACACTCTCTCTCTTTTTTGCCAATATAATATTGTTTCCTGAATAAAGTTCTGTATAAAATACTTTAATTTCAATTACACTTCAAATATTATTGAAACTAAAAATATTAATTCTAGAAAAAAAATGACTGAAAAATAGATATCTTTTATAGACTCTGTAACATTTTAACATAATATAGTGACATTTAATGTTACTTTATTAAATATATTAAATATATATATTTATAAATATACTTTATTAAATATATATATTTCAAATAACATATATCGTAAATCTATATTTATATAATTTTTTTTACCTATTTGAGCAAGTCTCTTTTCTTCAGCTAGTTTTGCATCGCGCATAGGTTTAAGCTTCAATTCCTCTTCTCTACGAGCATTTTCTCTTTTACTTAATCTTCGCTGATGATATGCACCATAAACGATTCCAGTAAAAAGAAGACTCCAGCGGCAAAACTATAAAATGAAATATTTGTATTAATTTATTAATTGGCTAAATAAGGATAGCAGAATTTTATGGGAAATATTAGATGTAATATTAACGAAAGTCTATTATATTTCATACAGATTTTATATAGATTAAGACATTTCAGGTTAGAAAATGAAAGAATGACATTAGATGAACTTATTTTTAATGAAACTTTAAACTGTAGCCACAAGTTGTCATGATCGCAGTAAAATTATCATTGTCATCTTTTACACATATTTATCATTCCATACATTTTCATGAAACGATAGAAAAATTATGTAATAAAATCAATTTTTAGTCGAGATGGGAGGTAGAGTTTTATTAAGATAGTTATAAGTAAAAAATATATTTTGAATACTTTGAAGTAAAATAAATTATATGAAGATGCAGAGTAATATATACGATAATGAAAAATTGTATCTTACTTTAATAAAAGGAGAAACCCGCAAAGGTCTCGGATTCAGTTCGGCGGTCGACATTTTGTTCGGATAAGGATCACCTGACGTATTTGTTGTGAATTGTGCGTCTGCTCAGATAAGACACACACATTTCGACTACGAGAGAGTTATTTTATCCAATATTTAATTGTGATTGGATGTCGAAAAATTTAATAACAATAATTATAATAATTGTAATAATTATAATTATAATTATACTCACTAAATTCTTCGAAAAATATAATGATAAAAAATAAAAGAAAATAATATCCTTTTATGAAAAAATAATATTTTTTCATAAAGAATATAAGACTTATATGATTGTTTTTCTCTAACTTCTATACAAAAATTCATCGTATATTGTTTCTGATACAGTATCTTCTATTTGGAGAACAATTTTGTAGCTTGTGTTAAAATTTCGTTAATATCAAATATCCATTTCTCTCATCTTTCAAAATATATTGAATATATATCTTCCTCTGTCCTTCCAAAATATATTGAAATATCACAAATTAGAGCATTTCGCAAAAAATGTCTTTACCCTCGGAGGTGAGAAAATTACTCGTCGGTCGCGATGTGACTCATAGAGGGCGCCTGACAGAAATTTTTGCCGAGTATCCTATCTAGAATATACAAACTTCATGCACCTCTTTCGACGGGGAACGAAGCTTCGCGTTCGAATTTCTCGGCAGTAAGCAAAATGGCGTCATTGTGGACGGTGATGTCATTCGTGTTTTCCATGTTACTGATGCCCTTCCTTATGCTACTAATAGCAATTGTATTCTTCGCTTGTATTGGCAAGTCCCTCGGTGTACGCAGGCTGTACATCAAGCTGTTGCTGGCCCTCTTCGAGGTGAGTGCGCGAGCACCGATATTTCGTTGAAAATTTCGAATTTAACCGGCACGAATTTTCGCGTTATCTCGGCGACATAAAATGCGCTTTTTCGCGATATCGAGAACGTGCCTCGCGTCGTCCCGCGAGGTCTCGGTTTTCACAATCACGTCTCTCCTCTCTCGCCGGAAGAGCGTTTCCTGTATCGAAACTTTAGGACACGTGTATTGAATGCAAGTCTCGAATAATCTCCCGCGTCAATACGTAAATCGCCTTTTTTTTCGACATACTCGAATATGATTCATAATACTCGCAAAATACTATAACTTTTTTTTATGGAAAATAATGATTTTAGGAAAACTAAATTGTTTAATTGTGTAAATTATTATTTCTTATATGCTGTAATTTTGGTGGTGAAATTAATTTCTCACGCAGTTTAATTTTACAGACGAAACATATTGACTTCTGTTAATTGCAGTTAATTAAGCGCGCCCCTATTATACTTATTTATCTTATTGCAACTTCAAAATATATGAGCTATGAAAAAATCTCATTCTTGAAAACTATTGTTTAATGTTACGTGGGCTCGATTTATTTTTAGACAGAATAAATCAATGTGTAAGAGAAGTTTCTTCTATTATATTAATTAATATCTAATTATTATATATATGGGTATTAATAAAAATAATAATAATAATGCAACAACTGGGCATTTTATAAATCTTATTCTGTATTATAGTTAATTTGAAAGATTTTCTTGCTTTGAGCATGTAATAATTAACGTATGCGAATAAAAAATTATTAACAAAAAATATTTTAAGAGTAAACTTTGTTGAAATTATTTTCATTAATGAAACCTGTTAACTTACTCGAATGCGGATTGTTACATAACATATAAATGATAAAAATTTTCTGAAAATAAATATTTAATTTTAAAAATTATATATAAGTCTCATTAAAATTTATAATATTTCAAAACACATTAAAAATGTCGTGAAAAGAAGCAATTTGTCATAATCATAATGAATGTAGACAATACTACAAGGGTTATTTTAAAAAAATATATTGAATATATTGAATATATTTTCTTAAATTTTGAAAGAGCGATCTTAACACAAGTATATGTATACATTATTTTTTAAAAAGGGTATTGAGTACATCGGATGATTTAAGTATAAAAAAAATATGCGCACTTTTTTTAATTATATACAACACAAATTGTGTAATATTTATACAAACTACATTAATAAGAAATTCTTTTCATAGTTAGCTTTAAAAAAAATTTACACAGAAATTTATGCGATATTGGTTTTTTTTCTTTTGCTAAACTAATAAACTTAAAAGTGTTAAAGATAAGTAAAAAATAAAATTTTTAGTTTATGTTTTTAAATGAAAAATAATTTAAAGGTTTTTAAATTAAAGATTTTTGTCAGTTATATAAAACAAATTTTTAAAAAAATTGTATATATTATTGTTTATTTAATTTTAAATCTGTTTTAAAACGGTTTAAATTTTTTACTCATTTTACTACTAACAATTATAATTATACATTAAAAAATATTAAATTCTAAAAAAACTAATGTTTAATTAAATGTTTAATAAATTAATGTTTATTAAACATTTATGTATTTATCCTTAAAATTTCCAAATTTATTTATTTAATGAAAAAGCATAGAAACATTAGATATATCAAATTCTCTGCATTTTTAAATTAAAATTAGGGTTGCCTTTTATTCTTTATTAAGCAGGAGAGTTAGATATTTATATATTCTAAACAGATTGCTTATTTTGTAGAAATCCGTTACTCGTACATGTATATTTGTATTTTCAGTTACCACTAATGTAATTTTCGTGCCAATATTGAGAGTATTATAAGATGTTTACATATCACATATATATCAGGGGTATCCGATTCGTCCATTCATACATATATTGATTCATCATTTCCATTTGCCTTTATATTCTACACATATTACTTCTCAATATTCTAATTGATTTAATGACTGATTATTTTTCCCATGATGCGTATTATTTAAAATTTTCATTATTATTAATTACAATAATTTTTTAAAATTTGTTTCTATTTTTAATATATAAATATAGTTCGACAACTGATAAAATTACGACTAATGATTTACTATTTTACCGATTGACTATTTTATATGCTATTATAAATAAAAGTCAAAAATTTGAAAGGAAAGTTAAGCGAGTAGGATCAACAAGTAGCATAATTAATAAATCAGTATAATGCGAAACATCTCAACCCAATTGCATTTACGGAAATGTTTTAATTATGAAATAAATCGTACATACGCGAATCTTAACTGTTCTCTATTATACATAAAACAGCTGATATCACAAAATAGCGCAATCAATTTATCTTTGATGAACGAATCAAACAAATATCAATATATTCATATCATATTCACATCATATTCATATCGTACATTAATATGACTTGTAAACACTTAATGACCTTTTACTTTTAACGAGAATACGTAGCTATGCAATATGTGTATTTTCGGCATGACTTTGTGACTTTGTGCTTCGATAGCAATCTTTCAGCATTCGATGTAAACATACGGATCTTTACAGTGCATCTTTAAATAGTTAAGTCTAAAATCAGAAATAAGTTCGTAAATGAAATTTGCCAAAGTAATTACGAAAATCATACAGAAATAACCCTGTTGACATTAAATAAATCGAACGCAGATTGCCAAAGGAAACTGAAGGGATGGGAAAACCTGCAAACTTTATTGCTTGAATATAATTTGTATTTAAGATGCTTAAGCCCTCCGGTTCATATTAAATTATTCGTATCTTCAGTCATTATTTATGATATTAGGAGCGAAAAATATTATGTGAATTTTTTTACATCGAAATAAATTACTTTTTTTATGTATAACAATTCGCATTTAATAGTGGATTTATAAAATGCATATACCGGCAACTGCTCTTTTAGCATTCTGTATTAAATAAATGCAAATCTATTTATATCTGTCTGATTTCTAGCAAAACTGAATTATGAAAATTTATTAAAATTTATATGTATTTATTAATTCATGAAAATTAATTTCCAGTATATATTTTATTAATCTATACATATAGATGTCAAGTATAGTATTATGTCAAGTATAATATCATGAAAAAAAATATCTTGTATATTTTTAGAAAAAAAAATTATATATAATTTTCTATTCTTGATATCATACTTTAATATATCAGTGAAAAATAAAAAAATTTTAATTATTCTTGGGATCTTTAGAATTAAATATATATATAATCATTTAGAGAATGTTCACTAGTATATTGAACAAACTTTCCTAATTTTTAATGCATATCTAGTGTATTGACTATATAAAGTATGTACATGTCTATGCTATAGTCTAGTAAAATCAATATAAGCTGTCTCCGCGATGGCTTGTAACAGTGCAATTAATCTTTACTTTTATTTATTACAAATTTATTTGTAAATTGGAAAGAAAAAAGTGACAAACGAAACATACCGGCCAATATGTTAATTAATAATTATAATCGAATTATAATTAAATATATTATAATCGAATATTATAATTTAATATATAATTCTACAAGTACAACGAAAATTGCATGTAATGGCAACAATATTAAATTATATATATATATATATATATATATATATACATATATATATATATATATATATGTTATTATATATATGTTATATGTGTATATATATATATATATATGTATATATAATATTATATAAAATTTTATACATTGATTTAAACACATAACGCAAATTATTTTCATTAAAAATCCCGATTATTTGTATCAATAATATAGTTATTAAAAATTATAGGATTTATATTATTTTAATAAATGATATAAAATATATTTAAAAAACACCGAAAATAAAAACATATACATTATAATATTATTTTTATTATCGAGGAATCTACTGAGTCATCGATTATACATATTATTGTGTATAGCAAGATCTAATTTAAATACTTGAAACGTTGTACGTGCGCACATACGTAGAAAATGCGCATTATATATTCAGCAAATATAATTCCGTCTCGATTTGTTAATTCAGTACATAATTCGATGTAACTTGATTATATTACATTTATTTTTTGTACTACTATAAATATTAGCATAATTCATTCAATTAAATTAGTTCGAAAAAAATTCTATGAAAAAAACATGATATAAATGATAAATTATATTTTATATAAATGATAAATTATATAATTATAATAAATTAAATGATAATGCTTGATAAGAACAAAAATCTTGATGAATAAGATGTTTCAAGAATCTGTCAATACTTTGAACCTTAGTCCGACTTTTTGTACTGTGATGTCAGAAGCAAAGAAAGTATTAAGTTATACATATGAATACGAAGAATTCATCATTGATATTATTTGTCATTGATATTATTCTAGTTTCGATGGTCGGAAAAGTTGATTTATAAAACATGTGTCACCTTACCGTCTAGACACATGTAACGAATATATCATTCTAAATATCTGAATAAAAATATAGTTAAGAACTAAAATAATATAAAATATTATAATAATAATAAATAATAATTGATATGAAAATGTTTACATTTAGATCTATTTCAAACTAAAATATCTTTGAAGAGGAAATAATTTATGTGTAAATGTAAGTTTAATAAAAAAAAATATCTATATAATCTTATGTTCTTTTTGCTTCTGCAATTTCTCAATTTAATAAGATCTCTTCAAAATATTGAACAAAGAATTTAAAGAAATCTTTCTTTTAATATAACATAATAAAAATATTTATATCTTTGTGTTGAAGAATTGTAATATATCCATTCTTAATTTTTTATTACTATATAATATTTTAAAGTATAAATACGTAAATTAAATGTATAATTAGAACAATTAATATAATATTTTTGTGGATCTTATTCATTTTCATTTCTTATTATCTCAATTTTATATTAAATTTTCTTCAATTATTTAAATCCAGGAAAAGAAAATGAAAAATTTATGTTATACTAAATC